GGTCAAAATGATTAATATGTTTTGGCGAAATGTTGGAGTGAAAACTTGTGAAATCAGAGTTCAGAAAAAAAAAAAATGTTGAAATTTGAAATGTAAATATTCGATACAAAAATCAGTGTCTCGATTCGTATTTTAAAAACAGATTTTTTTTGAAAACTATTTGTAAAATACACTTAATATTCCCGAACTTGTTGGCCTTTGTTTTCCACGGGCAACCAAGATATTCAACAAGTCTACTTTGTCAAGAGAGTACATAAAAAGAGGAGAGTCTGCCAGACAAAAAAGTGTATATTTTTATCGGGTAGCTCTGGCAAGTTGCCTTGGAAACGACTGATGTTACGTATATATAGATAAGGAACAATTGTCATTTCTAATCAACTTTGAAATCAACTAAAAGATTTCAAAAAATAGAATTTTTTACATAAAAATTCAACCATACCTGGATAGCACTAGCAAAAAAATCTCGAATATTTTCTGGAATTTTTATCTTTAATCGTCTTCAAGTGTCACAAAAATTAAAAATTAATAGGATTCAAAAAAAGTTTTTGATACTTTTTGATACTTCCCTGAAAATTTAAGAAACTCGGTAATCAAAACGTATCCTAAGCCCCCCTTTTATAAAAAAACTACTATGATTTCTCTCTTCCCAACAATTTTGGCGCCACAACGAACACAAACACCAACTGTTGTGAATTCTTGGCCGACAAATTCCTGGGCAAAGTTCATCACCCAAAAAAACCCCGTCTTTAGGACCCTCAAACTCCCTAAAATACGACTCCTACCCCAGTAAAGTTTTACCTCAAATGTTCGCCTTTGATTCGCGAATCAATCCTCACCGGCTCCACGAGGCCCTCTGGCGTTTTTTCGCCGCGGCAGGGGTGGGGGTGGGGGTCGAACAGGCGCGTCAAAGCCGGTCAAATGGGGGTGGCTGCGACCTGCTGATCCGCGGAAACGCAAAGGGCGAAAGGATGATAACAAAAAATAGAAAAAAAATGAAAAGAATAAAGTGGTATGCCATTCGGTATCCGGCCCGCCTGCAGAGTGCATTAATCACCGATGGACGGGCGTGACGTTCTGTATTGGCAATTAAACCGGCAAAAACATAAGACACGAAGGATTTTTTCGAGGACATGTCGGAGAAGGAGTACAAATTATTGCAAAATCTTCGGATAGAAAGGAATTTAATGGCTGTTCGCGTTAACTGATGGCCAAAAAGAGTTTCCAGAAGATTTCTGCTTATCCGCTAGGTAGAAACCGTTGAAATTTGACATTCTGACGGCGTAATAAAGTAAAAATCCATGGGTATTTCGTCATATCAGTCTGTCGGGAAAATAATGTGGATTCGTCACAACAAAATTTCCCGCCTCGTCTCAGCTGCCCACCAAATCTCCAGCCGCGGCTATCCGCCGCAACGCAGACGATTAATTAGCCCTTTTTTGCCATTAATTTAAACAGATGCTCCCAAAGTGTAAAGAAAATTCCACAAAATTACGTCCACGCGGTTTTCGCGTCTTGTCAAAAAAGCGCATTTCAAGAGAGTTTAGTTAAAAAATGATGAGAATATGACGAATTTTTGCAAACTTATCTTTTTTTCTATGTTAGACTATAAGAACTGCAAGTTTTCTGCAAAAAATCACTTTTTCAGCGCAAATTTTGCTCAAAATCTTAACTTTTTTTCCTTCATCGCTCTCTTCATTTTAAAAATTCGCACTCTATCCAGCGGGACAGATTGTTGAAGATCTGCGGCTGCAAAAGTGCTAACCAAACTTTGATCAAATGATACGTGTCCTAGGATCGCCCTAAAATTTATATATTTAGAAGACTTGTGAGCGTTGCACTTCTGAACACGTCAATCGATAAATCCAATTTTCTATAAGAACATTGACCTTTGTCCTTTTAAAATTCAATCTCTGAGAAGAAAAACTAGGCAAATCAAAAAATATCAGCATTAGATAGGCAGTGTAATATCCGCTTCAAAATTCCATTGAAAAAATCTGGATATTCTCCCGTTGGCATCTCCCACAGCTCTTCACTTTACAACGAAATCAACAAAAAAAAGAAAAAAAAGAAAAAAATGAGAATCAAAATATGTTCATCAAATTCTGTCATCATTTCACGCATAGATGCTTAGAATACAAGTGCCCAACCCACAACACCGATCCCCTCAAACCACCCTCTTTCTTGGTTGATTAGCAATTCTCCCGCCGTTCGAAGACCATTCCAACTTACGTAGAAAGCCGCTGAAATCGGATACGATAATGTAAAAACTAACTCAAAGACCTACTCAAAACCCCCGTCAAATATTACGCATGATGCCCAGAGGCTGTTCGCATTTTGATCTTCATTATTTATGGATTATAAATAATCAAAATAATCACTCCATTTGCAGACGTTGTAGGCGCGGTTGACAAATCCTTAGGGTGGGGTCGAAGGCGGGAAATATTTGTCATCTCAAAAAATTTATAGCGTTTGAAGGGATAGTTCAAGGTAATTTCGCTCAATTCTATTGTGTTTGTAGACTGTAAACTACATAAGTTGGTGTTCTGTATACAACATTTTTGGTTTATTATATGGGTGTAGACGTAAATATGGGATAAGGAGAAGTGGGAGGTCAAAGAATAAAGAATGGGCAATGTTAGATGCTTAAAAATGAAGCCTGGAAGGAGATGAAAATTGTCCTAAATTCATGCTAACTTTCATCGAAATTTGAGCGTCGCATTCTTCTCTTGTGAGTATCTTCGTGTACAAAAAAAATAATAAAAGACTTTTACCAAAAAATGTGCAAAAAACTGCATGGCGTCTCGCCTTTTCGGAAGAAAAAGTAACTCATACTCTGTTACATCAAAATCATACAGTAAACAAATGTCACAGAAGAATCTTTGATTTTAAACATCGTCATTTCTATTATCATCCGCCTCCTTGCCACGTCATCCCAACGGAAAACTCTTGAGCCGGAGATCCTACGACTGGGATGAATTTAGAGCCCATCATATCCGCTTTGTAACAAAAAGCATTTATTCATCTCGATCATATATTCCGTGCATCACTCTTCTCTTCGCTTTCGGCCGTTCAATTAAAGCCGGAGTTCCGGTCAGAAGCAACTGTTTCGGTTCGTAAATTTTGATAACCCAAGGCCATAAAGTTTTGAGGATTTGTAGTTATGGTGAAACAAATGAACGCTTTTACGTAAAACGAGGCAAAAAATAAAGTAGGCAGTGTCAGATTCCACGGAACCTGGAGTTATCCACGATGTGTCAACTCGATGGAATTTATGGAGAGAGAGAGATGTCCCCCGTGTCAACTGTTTCCCCAGTTGTTTTTCCCCAATGTTCGAGAATGTTCGATGGAGAGATCCCGAAGCGGAGAGCCTGAATCACGACACCGTAACCTTCTCCGAGGTTTATCCCATCTTGATCAGACGTTGTAGTTGTTGTAGGTGAACTGTTGTTGTGAAGCGTTGTTGTAGAGTTGTGTTGTATTGCTTATTTTATCCTATTGTTTACTTTTATTGATAAATCATTTAATCGAGTTGGTTTACTTTTATTCTCGTGTCCATATTACAGGGGAACGATATCTTTCGATTACCCGACATCCACATACGCAACCTTCCACTTGGAAGGCCGAGTATTTTAGGCCGAATCAGTTGCGCAAGGTAATCGACAGAGGAGACCACCGCTAGACCACCAGCCATCTCATTGGATTTCGTTTCTATCCGAAGGTGGAATCGGACAGGCAGACTGGAAAAAAATCTCCGGTTTCTCACAAAACGTTAAAAAATCCTAAACTCATGGCTTCAAACACCTTGTTTATAAACATTTCCTTGACAGATTCCATCTCAAAAACAATTGTTTTGAACTACACGTCGAAACCTATTATTCATTTTGATTCTACAGTATTCAACATCCTCTCGGAAAAGTCGAATACATCTTTTGTCTGTTTATCTTGGATGTCCCCATGCCGTCAATCAATCGCTTCACAATGTCAGGTGTTCCGACCTCGGACCGGAAATCCCAAAGTCACTTTTTCCGAGGGGTGTTTGGAGAAATTCGAGAACTTTGCTCGGTGTGCTTCCCCTTGAGTAATGTAGTTCATTATGCATAAACAAAGGGTGAAAGGCATAAAAAGTATACCGGTGCCGACGTTTCGACTCTTGCCGGCAAGCACTTTGTGGACAGCCCACATTTACCGATTAGAATTACGAGTGTTCCACCGTAATCTTCTTAGTATGATCGAAATTTTGCATTGGCAACTACCCGACACACGAATCTATTGAGATTAGAAATTGCTTTCCAAGCCATAAGGGGTTTGTTTTCAAAAAATGCTCTCTGAGTCTTTCAAAATGTCTGGTCAACCTTATGATGACTATTCCGGCCACTTATACCCCTGGAAGTTTAATTCGCAACGTCTAACCGCCAAATCCATCGTTAGAATTTCCTTTTGTAAGCAAATGTTGACTGATTTCCAAACATCAGAGTCGGGGCTTCGGTAGTTGAGCCCCCCACGAAAGGTAGTTCAAACCCCCACTGTTTTGCCCGTTTCACACCCCACATAATGAACAGATTAGAATAATACAAAAAATGTAAGTGGGGGTTTGATCTACTACGTTGGGGGTTTGATCTAAAACGTAGGGGGCTTGATCTAAAACGTAAGGGCTTCATCTAAAACGTAGGGGGCTTGTGCTGGACCATACAACTTGGATTAATCCTTTGAAATAAATTTTGGGGTTTAGAATGGACGAGGGGGTTTGTACGGGGTCATGGGGGACTAAACTGGACTGGGGGGCTGTACTACCTTAACTCAGAGTCTCCGTGGTTCTTATTGCTGCCAGCAAAGTGGTTGACCACAGTGTGGGCCGGCCAAGAAAAACCCTGTTTGACCACTTTCAAAGGCATTCACCGAGGTCCCTGCTGAATGAGAGAGGGTGTAACAATTCTTCAGACACTATTAATAAAGTAAGTATTGTTCTCATTATAAGACAGTTTAATAAACAAATTTTACAATTATCGTTTTGACGTTGAGATTCGACCCGAATTCTGGCCCAGTGTCGAGCTCACATGAGACCTTTGGGCACTGTTTGTGCCCACCACGGACCTTGCAAAGTTCAAGGCCCGCTTTGTGACTCTTCGATACGCAGGCACACAGACAATAATCGAAATACAGTTGAAGGCGGGAGGAGTGTGGACTAGGATCGTCAGGACATCTCCGAGGTATTTGGATTGGACTCCGGCCAAGGCTAACAGCGAATAGCAGGTGCACGGAATCACCATGGAAAATAGAGGGTAAATCGCCTGGAATGTAAGGGTCAACCGGCACTGTACTCGTACTTGCCTGCGCATACAGCAGAGTGGTCATTTGCCTCTGAAGCTTCACTGTGCTCTTGCTGATCACGGCAAAATCGCACTTGAGTGTGACGGATTTCTTCGATTTCTGGACAAAATAAATGATGGACCCGTAGATAACACAAGTGTTAATTGAGACGTTGATCAACTGCATTACCATCCCGGTAGTGCCCTGAAAACCTTATCAACAATTACGCAAAAAAACGGTATGCTGGAAGTGCCTTAAACAGAAGTTTTGTCTTAATGTCATCAAAATCTACAGCTTTTTCTTCAAAATATACTTTGTGTATATTCCCCAAAGCCTGGCTTACCAAATCTCCAGCCAAATACGACGGCAGTGGGAGACTTTGATTCGTCTCCAAGACCTGATGCAAGATCGCATCGTACTTCTCAGTCCTCGGCAAATACGCCATTGCCGTGAAAACCCCATGATAAACGGCGCTGAGGACGATCAGAAATAGCACACCGCAAATTTGCAAAGTCGAAAATGGCCGACCTCTTATGATGCCATAACGGAACATAAATTGCAGCGGAATCACGTTCAAGGACAAGAACATACAAAAAAGCTGGGTGCCAATTGCAATACGAGTAGAGCAAGGAGTACCCGGGATCATGGGGTTCGATACGATGGCAAATACCACTTTCACGCCATATGTCATCGACTGAAAAATAAGGAATATTTGGGGTAAAATTTCTGGTTGATCTATTCACGATATTTGTTGACAAAGTATGCGGCATTATAGACCGGATTTTCTTTTCACAGTGAGAATCTTTATAGCCGATATTTCTTCCCCGTAAAAGCTTTTTATCTCCTACCATTAGCACCACAATATTGTTCACCGAATACATCAAGTCCACAAACGCATTGATCAAGAACACCATCTTGTAGGCTTGCAGTGTTTTCATTTTCACTCCAAATAAGGTCATCATCGAAATAAACCAGCAAAGTAGAACGCTGATCAAAGCCAGCGCAATGTCCACCGTATGGACTGCGGAGAACATTAGGCTGAAAGGAAAACGGAATATATGGGAAAACATAATTATAATACATCTTATTGTTACATGGAGGAAACGTGCTTGCTGTGAGAGGCTCAGATTTTGAGGAAACTTGGAATAAATAGAGATTAATTCTATCAAACCATAAGCAAGACTTCTAGCTCTCGGTTTTCAGAGTTGCCGAAAACCTGGCATTTTTTTGCGGCCCTTGGCACAATACAATGAAGTGAAATCATTCCAGAAAACACACGATTGATTGCCACGCCTCACCCATTAATAGATCAGCCTTAGAAAAATATTTTCAGGTCAAAAAATAAATATTTCAGGCTTTTTTTGAGGCTTTATACGATGGTTACTGTAGTTTCTAACTTTTGTTAATTTCGCAAACAAATTTATTGGAATGACGAATTTAGACAGGCTATCCGGGTCAGAAACGCGCATACATCATGGAAGGCAAAAATCAGAATCGTAATACTACCCATTCCTGAAATAGTGGGAGATTACGGTAGCCGAACCCACTTTTTTCGCTGTTTGGCCGCGGCATTCTTTGGAGCTGTGAGTGTAACAACTTTTGAGGCCTGAAATTCATTCAGGATGGATAGAAGAGCATTTCAGCAACAAATCGCGAAAATAAAAATATAAGTTTTTGAGAAAATCCAGGATTACGGTCATTTTAGGGGGTTTTTGGGCCGTTTGGCCGCGGCATTCTTTGGAGCTGCGAGTGTAACAACTTTTGGGGCCTGAAATTCATTCAGGATGGATAGAAGAGCATTTCAGCAAAAAATCGCGAAAATAAAAATATAAGTTTTTGAGAAAATCCAGGATTACGGTCATTTTAGGGGGTTTTTGGGCCGTTTGGCCGCGGCATTCTTTGGAGCTGCGAGTGTAACAACTTTTGAGGCCTGAAATTCATTCAGGATGGATAGAAGAGCATTTCAGCAAAAAATCGCGAAAATAAAAATATAAGTTTTTGAGAAAATCCAGGATTACGGTCATTTTAGGGGTTTTTGGGCCGTTTGGCCGCGGCATTCTTTGGAGCTGCGAGTGTAACAACTTTTGAGGCATGAAATTCATTCAGGATGGATAGAAGAGCATTTCAGCAAAAAATCGCGAAAATAAAAATATAAGTTTTTGAGAAAATTCAGGATTACGGTCATTTTAGGGGGTTTTTGGGCCGTTTGGCCGCGGCATTCTTTGGAGCTGCGAGTGTAACAACTTTTGAGGCATGAAATTCATTCAGGATGGATAGAAGAGCATTTCAGCAAAAAAATCGCGAAAATAAAAATATAAGTTTTTGAGAAAATTCGGGATTACGGTCATTTCAGGGGATTTCCTCTCCTAAACTACCGTAATCCGGGATTTTCTCAAAAACTTATATTTTTATTCTCGGGCTTTTTTACATAGGTACTTTCTAGAGCATCGGGGATGTATTTCAGGCTTCAAAAGTTGTTACACTCGCAGCTCCAAAGAATGCCGCGGCCAGACGGCCCAAAAACCCCCTAAAATGACCGTAATCCTGGATTTTCTCAAAAACTTATATTTTTATTTTCGCGATTTTTTGCTGAAATGCTCTTCTATCCATCCTGAATGAATTTCAGGCCTCAAAGTTGTTACACTCGCAGCTCCAAAGAATGCCGCGGCCAAACGGCCCAAAAACCCCTAAAATGACCGTAATCCTGGATTTTCTCAAAAACTTATATTTTTATTTTCGCGATTTTTTGCTGAAATGCTCTTCTATCCATCCTGAATGAATTTCAGGCCCTAAAAGTTGTTACACTCGCAGCTCCAAAGAATGCCGCGGCCAAACGGCCCAAAAACCCCTAAAATGACCGTAATCCTGGATTTTCTCAAAAACTTATATTTTTATTTTCGCGATTTGTTGCTGAAATGCTCTTCTATCCATCCTGAATGAATTTCAGGCCTCAAAAGTTGTTACACTCACAGCTCCAAAGAATGCCGCGGCCAAACAGCGAAAAAAGTGGGTTCGGCTACCGTAATCTCCCACTATTTCAGGAATGGGTAGTATTACGATTCTGATTTTTGCCTTCCATGATGTATGCGCGTTTCTGACCCGGATAGCTTGTCTAAATTCGTCATTCCAATAAATTTGTTTGCGAAATTAACAAAAGTTAGAAACTACAGTAACCATCGTATAAAGCCTCAAATAAAGCCTCAAATATTTATTTTTTGACCTGAAAATATTTTTCTCAGGCTGATCTATTAATATGTGAACCGTAGAGATTAATGGAAAAGTTTAAAAATTGATCGTCTCTATTTTGGTCCTACAGTAACCGAACATAGCAACTTTGAACGCTTATATCTCAAAAACTTATATTTTTATTTTTGATTTTTTTGTTTTATTTTACGGGAAGGGTGTCCAACTTTTATAATCCGGTTTGAAAACTTGTTACACTCTTTCCAATTTTCGGCAGTAATCGATATGGTATCATGACGATTACGGTACTACCGAAAGACGAAAAGGAACAAAAAAAGTTTCAATTAGAAAAATGTTGGCCATGTTCGAAAACATACACACAAGAAGTTTCGGACCCGTAGGACGATCACCTGGTCCACGACAACGGCCGCTTTATAAAACACAAAATGTTACAGTAATCCCGAAATAATGCAAATTTTGGGAAAACGTTTGACGCTTTTGATGTATGCCTTGTGGGTGTTCTATGAGCCAAATTTGAAGAAATTCGGTGATGGTCACCGCAACAATGTCCGGGCCATGCTTCACTTTGTAAAAAAGTCCGTTTTAAAAGCTTCCCCAAATTTCGCAACGCCGGTTGTCCTATTGTAAGAAAGTAAAACTAGTTTATAGCAAAAGTACAACATAGTATGCATATAAAAGCGTGTCTTACATTTCGTACAAAGAAGACATCGTTTCGGCTCCGCCACAACTCAACACAATCGCCTGCAATGGAGTCGGGATTCAAAGGGTGCGAAAGATGAGGTTGTAAAGTCGTATTAAGAGTACATAATGTTAAAAGGGGGACTTCATGAGGAACGAAACTCAAGTGGTTGTAAAAATTGCACATTGTACGTCTGCGGGAAATGATAAGTGGGAAATTACTGAATACTACTGTACTACATATTATAAATTGCATAAAGTTCAAACCTTACAACGCCCACACAAAATTCAAAAATCCAAGTTCAAGTTGTACTGTTGGAATTTTTATTTTAAAAATAGCTAAAAATTCCTTTTTATTACATCCAATAAATGTTATGTAAAAAAACAAAAATTGTCAAAGCGCTTATGGGCGATTGGTTGTTTAATGTTCAAGCGTCTAGTGGTTATGTAACCGACAAGAAACCTGTTATTGTCGGCGTTAACAACAACATTTTTTGAAAAAAAATGTCGGCTATTTACTGTATGGATCACAGTAGCAATTTGATATAGAAATCCCTAACAATTACGCAAAAAAAAAATAAAAATGTTACAGGTCGCAATTATAGTCTCAGCGCACAAGTGCTTCGACAAAATGTCACCGTTTTAACAGTTAATTAATGCTTTGGTTTTGCAAGGCTAGGGAATCGTTCAAGATGACCTATCGTCACAAATAGGACTCCGAAATCTTGTTTGACCGATGTCGCGGCCAGCGACGCTGATGACGTAAGTCGGAGGCGGAGTTACCGCGCATGTCTAAACCCAAGTCCTAGCGCCTCGATCGAAGATCGAGGAGAGAGGGAAAAGCGATGAAGATGGCCGGTTGTGTTTGGAATAATGAATGTCATTGTTAACCTTTGTGGATATTTGAGTATTGTCTAGTAAAGAGATACGCCGCTCGGGTACGTGGAAGGCGGTGAAATACCTGGCCCGGAAGGCTAGGTCTAACCATCGGTCAGCCCCGATCCCCCTAAGGGAGGGGTCTGTGACATCGATTTCTCGGCCAATTTCGTACAAAATCAAGTGTTTTTTGACAAAGCCGACCACTTTTGGGCTCTCTGAATTTTTCGAAAGGTACATACAGGGTGACCCGAAATAACGGAGACAAATTTTGGAAGGGCCCACCGCGAAACACAGGCGTTATAGAAACACAAGCGACAGTGGGTAATATTCCATAAGACTTTCTCTCTAATCCACGAAAATTTGGCGGAGTCGTCATGTCGCAGGAAAAAGTTACAGCTTAACAAAAATGCCTTGCGCCATTTTTTGGCCCTCAATTTTGGTTCCTTTGTATTGTGTAGAGCATGGCTGTACTACAGCTGCAGAAATGGCAAGTTCATTTGTTTTGCTAGACTACTACGTCTCTAAGCAAGCAGTTATGTAGGTTTCTGGGCTACGGTTTTTATTTCTGCGGTGGTACCAATCTCAACATTGAAGATCGCCATTTTTTCCAAATTTTTTCGATAAAAAATTCAGTTTTTTTAGAATAAAGCTAAAACCGCTAGAACGTATTCTATTCATAAATACAATAATTCTGGAAAAAGCTGTGATTGCTTGCTGGTTGCAACAGATTTTCCTTGACAAGTTTCTCGCCCAGAACTACCCATGGCACGCGGCTTTGAGAAAGATGGGTTATCGATAACAAAATGACAAGATAGATAAAAACGGCGCATTCTGCTCTTGTACACTTATGAATACGACTCTTGAGAATCGGCCTAGGGCACTTTCGGTCTTTATGTGTCACCGACTCGACCGGTATTCCGCCTAAGGCAAAAATAAGGCAGAATTCTAGTGATTACCAAATAACATTCCGTAGCAGTTACAAAATGTTTCTCTTTTGGTTCTATGGTGTTCCTTTAATCATGTTCTAGTAACTCATATTACATTTTGCCTTATCTAACATTTAAACTCCTTTTTACCGATACATTTTCAAAAAAGGCCGATTTTTGCACTTCAACTCCCTGAAAATACTCGGCTGTAACTTTTGAACCATCGATAGTTGAGCTTAGTATGATGGCTCGTTTTAAAGGCCATATTGTGATAATTAAGGACAGCAAATCTCAAACTATTCCGAATTTTCTTTTTTGAGTAAGGCAGCTTTCTTGCAAAAAGACCCCACGGGCAGAAAGGTCCGAGTCAATCGGATATATTGATGTGGTTCAAGGCACAAGAGCGTCGTACAACAAAACTTCCGGTATATAAAACTACACTAACGTGGTACTGTAGCATAAATAAGGAATCACTCATGAATCTTCATAGGCCGCAGAAAAAACGGGAAATCTTTTGTCTCCGTTATTTTGGGTCACCCTGTATACTGGTTGACAAAATTTCCTCGTATCTCGGGAACCGCTGGGCCTAGAGCTTCCAAATTCGGCATAGAAACATCCTGTGACAATCTAACACCATACCCAAAAACACTCATATCATTTGATGCACTTTGAGTGCACTTTTTAAGCAAAAGGCAAAAAAAACGGGATGACAAAATTTGCTTTCCTGGAAAATATAAAAGAAAAAATTCAAAATCATCTTTCCGGTAAAGGCCTAGGGCGAAAAGCCAACTCAAAGAATTCACTTTTCGTTTTGACATGGGCACTAACAATTGTAAGATATCCAATTTTTTTTTAAATTTTTGCAGGTATGAGTCTCGTATCAACTCTTGAAAATTTCAGTTCTCGTTTTGAAGTGGCAGATACTCAGCGCCGAGAGACTACTTCTGCAAAACAAAAGCTAGTGCCGGAATCACACGATTTATTATATTTATTCTGGTTTGTTAAAGTTGTGTTGGCAATCATTGCAATTTTACACCGTCCAGACGTTCGATCAGATTGATTATTGGCAACGTGATGTCTTGCGTTACATTCTGGCCCCAAAGGAAGTCCACGTGCGAGAAGTGCTCGAAAATTGTGTGGGACTGAAAAATAAAGGTCAATATATCCATGGTATGTATGTATGAATACAATATAACGCATTGTTTACCAGTATGACTCCCTGTGGTAGTGTTTTGAGCAAATTCTCCGTATCTGCTGGATCAGCCAGCCAATCAGCCTTGCTGGAGAACATGTGTGTCTTTAGGCCGCTAATCTTTGAGATATCGTAACGCGGAGGGCTTTTCTATAAAATAAAGAAGTCCATAAGCAAAGTTTCAAGAATTTTTCCGTCTAGCAATGTACAGTAGAGGACCGAATCCAGTGGCAAAAAAACGTTCCATTTCGCATCCGGGGAGTATCAAAAATGCAGCAAAATACCTCCCTCTCCAAGTGAAAAAACTCCGTTTTGAAGAGGTCGCCTGTTCTCTCACAAAAAGAGCCGAGTCTTTAAAATTGGAAATGGAGGTATTTTGCCACATTTTTGATACTTTCGGCATGCAAAATGGTATGTTTTTTTGCCACTGGATCAGGTCCTCCACTGTAAGTCGTTTGACATCATCAACTTACTTGATTGTAATGTTTCACATTCGTATTGACATCTCTATAGTCGTATCGCTCCATAACCCCTCGGTAAACGGTTTGCAGCCAATGCAAAAAGTTTTGCGAAGAGGTCCCGTCCGGGGTGTGGCTGGTGTAAACGGAGAGCCGAGTGTGGTTCAGCTGCTTGGAATTGGGCCCGGCGACCATTCCAATCAACGAGTCGCAAATCACCGCTTGTCCAAGTGTGGTGTCGCAAATGTAATGAGAGAATTTCTTGAAAAACACGTTGTTCGCCATAAATTCATGATCTCCGAGAAGCTTCTTGGCGAACTAGAAGATATCCGAATTTTCATCGCCTTTGGCAAGTCTCACCTTGAAATTTGGATAGACGGTTCTTGCCATGATTTGAAGCAGACCTTTGATATGTTTCACCGTGTAAACTGGAGCCAGCGCAAAGTGTCTTCGAATTCTGTTGGCGAATTCTGGGCATTCGGACAGATGGGCAAAGAGGATGAGGTTTGCCTGGCTGTGCGCGACGTAGTAGATTTGTTTTTGTCCGGTGACCTCCGTAACCTTGTCAAAAATTGCAGGCAGGTCTTTGTGGGCGTGGTCTGGCCAACTAAACACATCGGTCTTGCAGAGAAAATGTGTTTTTTTTTGATGACGTAAAAATTCAAGAAATCTTACCTGAATTGCCAAAATTCCGAGTCTTTCACGGACAAGGTTGTATGGTTCTTTCCGTAGGTGTTGCCTCGCACATTGCCCAGCCAAACGTCAAATCCATTGTCGGCAAAGACGAAGCCTAGAACAATTTTGGCTGAAGTTTTACGAACAAACCTGGCGATTGATGAGGCAGATTGAAGACATAAGAAGCACTCGACTCCAGAAGGCCGTGAAATAACAAAATGGCAGGTCGATCCTTCCTCAACGACTTGTCATCTGGAAAGGACATCATTTTCGGCCGATAGCAGTTATCGACTCACTTTTTCCATGCGGAATCCGCTGGATCTCAATAATGTAACCGTCCTCGGTTTTCACCCAGTGCTTTTCCACCGGATATCCCCAAAGCTCAATCAGTTTTTCCTAAAAAAAGTGTGTGAAATCAGCCACAACTCACTGTTCGCAACCCCTCCTCCGGCAACGGCTCGGATCCGTGGCATACGCACAGAGTTGAAGTGAATATCAGAACAGGAACCAGCCACCACATGGTCCGCGAGACCTGCTGACAATGCACCGCTGTAGAAAAGTTTTATCAGACCGAGCCACAAACACATTTTATAGCTCTGAATAGTTGTAAGAGGCAAAAGCTAAAGATCATTAAAAAAATGCAGAAAAGCGAAAATGAGCCTTTAATACTATTAGGAAGAAATCAGTTTTATAAAGCGATTTGAGACGGAATCGTCTCAAAAGTGATGCTCAGACCTTTTTTTTAAATTTTGCTCAGATTTTGGGCCAAAATCATAGTAATTCCAGTAATTCCTTAAAAATTTTGGCTTGCACTTTGCAGGCGCAGCCGAGATATCCAGCAATCTTTGTCTGCTTCTGCTGTAGTGAGGAACGTTTCCAGAAAAAAATCCTTCAACGCAAAACTGATAATACTCCGCCGATTTAATCTGGAACAGTCTGAAACTCGTAAACAATGACAGATACGAACTCCATTTCTTCAACAAGTTTGATCAACAATCGATTGTCTGCGTTACTGTAGCAAAGTATGGTAAAAGTTCCTTATTCTGGCCACAAGTTATAATTTTGCGGAAACTGGTCAGAATTAGCCCAAATTTGGCGTGCAGGCTCAGTGCATCGTTGTCAATGCCCGGACAGTGGATTTAGTTAGTGAGGTGCCTTCTTTTTTACGTCTTACCTTACCCTTCAAAAGCGGCCGCAGCCTGCGATCTTAAAGTTTACACGATGGAACCTGTCTAGAACTGAACTTATTGCCTCCGTGTAGGACTACATAAATGAGTCGTCATAGCCTTTTAGGTACCCTTAAAACTATATAGCTACTATAGTAATTCAGTGCCAGCTAGTCGAAGTCTTTTTTTCCTAACTTTAGTTCCCAAGCTTGGGCGCAGTTCGCAGAGTACCTTTGTTGTGGCCAGAATAAGGAACTTTTCGCAAAATATAGTATTCCGTCTACCGTAAGGCACAAGAAAGAATTTTGTAGTTTCTAATTTCGGTTGTCGGAAAAGTTTGGACCAGGACAACAAAAAATTTCTTTATCACTAGGTGACATGAAGTCGTAATAATTAAGAAAAACTTATCATGGTTCTCAGCTGACTCAACTGATTCTAATGATATGCTATTAAACGCGGTGTTTATGGTCCTGAAGGAATTTTCCAAGGAAATTTCCAGGATTTTATTCATATCTTTTCGTCGAAATCGATTTACGCTTCTGACTGACTGTAAGAAGCGTAAATCGATTTAAACTGGCCATGATATTACATACGTATACATGACCAAAAACTAGCCTTTTCTCGGGCCGTCCTCCACGTTTTGCGTACTCTCTTGGCTGCTAGGTAGGCTAAATCTTTGTGCCCAAATTTCTTCCTGCTTCTCAAGTTCGACACTCAGAAACTTGTCATGTATTTAGAATAAGTTTTTCTAGGGCACATGAGATTTTCCTAGCTGGCACTTTGCAGAAACGGTCGAGATATTTAGGTCTAAGTTTGAAAAAGAGTGACACTTTTTGCAAATTTGGGCTTGGAAAGTTTTATGCCTTTCTAGCGTAGAGAATCGTGAAAATAAATTAACATAAAACTGACAAAAGTATGGTCAAAAATTGTTTTCCTCTATACCTGCGTATTCTCTCGACCGCAGGGATTTTTGAATATCTAGGTATCCCCTGCAAAGCACGAGCTAAAACTTAAACGTCGCACTTGGAACACTTTTCCTGCAGGTTAAAGAATCTGAATAAGACATTCTTCATCATCACTTGTTGGTTAGCATCCACTTTCACGGAGTGTTATAGACTTCTATTTTTCAACTCATTTTGTCATGTTTTTCTGCGAATTTATCAGTTTTGTTTCACCGAAAGCGATGTAATAAATCACAAAGAGCGAAGACACCTGTAAGAGTTGTTGTAAAATGTTGCGGTCATACGGATCTGTTCTATTCTGCTCGCATGAAGAAACATTGAAGGAATGTGTCAAAAAAACAAGGGTGAAAGTACTTTCTGCTCAACTTTGGATTAACCTGCTGGAAATTGTCAGCAAAGAAAATAAGAAAAAGCCAAAGCCAAAATGCCAAGGAAAAAGTTGGCCAAGTATCTTTGTTTTGGCCAAAGCTCCTTTCATTTGACAGCTTACGTATTATACATACAGTATTATAACATATTATAAAATTTCGCCATTTTCTTCCATTTGGCCGTTTTTTATTTGAATTGTTGACCTCGATAATGTAAGCCCACTGACATACAGTAACTATATTATATGTATTTTGCTATTCTACAGCGTTTGAAGTTGTAGCTTTGGAGATCTCCTGAACTTTGCGTTAGTAATACAATATGTTCCAATATTGTATGAAATTTCAATTAAACGTATTGAGCAGTAAATTCAATTTCATCATCGGTTCCTACATTTAATGTTATGTAATAATACAAACTTTTCTACCACATTTATTCCTCTACCGTAATACAAGTTGTTTTCTTCAACTAGCACGCTAAATTTGTCATTGTGGGTCAGTCTAGACATGTCTCATTTCCTTGAAATTTCAACAGTTTTTTTGAAGGTTTATTTAGCTTTGTAATTTTACACCGACGAACTTTAAAAGGGCAATGTGTCTAGCAGGAAGGCAACTTTGAAAATGAAACAAAAGTGCAACGTCAAAAAAAAAAACTGGTTTATGGCAAGTGGTCGTTAACGAAACGTGTAGACAGTAGTCTCGCATCGGGCCGGCCTTTGTCGGCAAAGATCACTGAACGCCTCAAATTGAGAAAACCAGAGCCAGCGACACCTCTGGATGATAAGGGATGGGCATGGCTCTGATGCCGGGCCGGAGAGAATTGGCCCGGCCCGGCTAGGTCGCTATTCAATTATAATAAAAAATGGCATTAGCTAGCGAAAAGCTCCAAAAAATGAGGAATGAGACTGCCAATTCGACCGGCCTTTACTTTCTTTCGGGCTGGGCAGCAACGGCAACTTTCGGCCCACGGGCCGACCGGTAAATCAAGTCTACTAACAAAAAGATAATGTGTGCGTTGTGTAGGTGGCATACTACACGTGAACATGAAGAATGAAGGAAGAATTTTTTATGTAAATGTACTAAGTGATGGCCAAAGTAAAGGTGAATGACCGATGAATTGACCGAGTTTTCAACATTTATTTTTTAGCTTTTTGCTAGCCAATACCAGGTTTTTTATATTGGTATTTGCTAGCAGGCCTACTAGCATTTTCATAAAGTGCACGGAGTGCATCAAGGCGAAATGGAAAACAGTTTTGTCGCAGGATTTTGTTTGAAAAGTCTAATGGTCCAGTCGACCTTTTTTCTTCGGCGCGATGTCCATCCACTTTGTGAAAAGGCTAATATCCGGACCGGGCCGATTCCCTCCGTCCGGCACTGGAGTCATGTGTATTCCTTTTCTTCCAGAAAACCAAGGCTTCAGACGCTGCCGCAATGTTCGTCTATCCGACCTTTGCCGGCAACGGACCAGCTCGGCTCTACAGTTATGTCTACTCGTCCCTTTACAACCAGTTTCCATCAACAGCTTGTTTGTCGTTGCACTTTCGTTTCATTTTCAGCTTAAAAGAGAGTTTTTTACAGATTGAAGCTTCTCATAACAAGGGCCGGACATTTCGAAAAAACGACCAACTCAGAATCTTTTGATATTTTGCATAGTTGTTGCACCGTGATAGCTGAACGTCAGCGTGAATTTTTAGTTTCTGAAATTACCGTATACGGGGGTTACGGTAGGTACAATTTTCACAAAGATTGGGTTCGTGTGTATAAACCCCGAGGAGTAAAAGCACAAAACCTTGCTGTTTTACGTTTTTGACCATGGGGAACATTTTCATAATTGACAACTTTACCGTAGGATGTTGCCTTCGACTACTTTGAAAAATACCAAGGTACCATATTGAATGTAACTCTTCGGCATTCTACTTGTCTCAACTTTTGAAACCTCTCAAATATACCTTGACATGTACGGAACAACATACCAAAAATGCGCGAAAATAAAAGGGGTGGTTTTGGAGTTACGGTACTTTGAAGGCAGCCGGTACCGTATATCAAAATTTCATTTTTTCTGAAATTGACGTAGAAACCCCGCAAACCTCGCCGAAATACGTTTTCGAACCTCGCGAACATTTTTGTAATTGACACTTTTTTTGTAGGATGCGGCCTTCGACCGCTATGAGAATTGTCAAGATACCATGATCAATATAACTTTCCGGCATTCAACTTGTCTCAACTTTTGAAACCTTTTAAAAACACCTTGACATATGGGTAACAACATATCAAAAATTTAGGAAAATAAAAGGGGTGGTTTTGGAGTTATGGTACTTTGAATTTTGGACATACAGTACACCTCGATTTATTTTCGGCTCAACTTTACGTAGATTGTCTTAAAAACAAAATGTAATGCTCTATGTATGTTGTACGACCCTCAAAAACTATTTTCACCAGGAAACTCAGAAAATTTTGGCCTAAGCATACTGTAACATATCGTGCGCAAATAATTGGTTACTGTAACAGCAAGATCAGCGATTTGTTAAATGTTTTGAACCGATTACCACGGTTTAGAGTCGTGTGTGCCATACGACAGTAAAATCTTCCAAATTCGGACGTCAGCATTACAATAAAAGTTCGGTGTACTGTATGATCAAGATTAAAAGTACCATAACTATAAAACCACCCCTTTTATTTTTCTAAATTTTTGATATGTTGTTACACATACGTCAAAGTGTTTTTAAAAGGTTTCAAAAGTTGAGACAAGTTGAATGCCGGAAAGTTATATTGATCATGGTATCTTGACGTTTCTCATAGCGGTCGAAGGCCGCATCCTACAAAAAGAGTGTCAATTACAAAAATGTTCGCGAGGGTCGAAAACGTATTTCGGCGAGGTTTGCGGGGTTTCTACGTCAATTTCAAAAAAAATGAAATTTTGATATACGGTACCGGCTGCCTTCAAAGTACCGTAACTCCAAAACCACCCTTTTTATTTTCGCGCATTTTTGATATGTTGTTACATACATGTCAAGGTATATTTGAGAGGTTTCAAAAGTTGAGACAAGTTGAATGCCGGAAAGTTATATTGATCATGGTATCTTGACGTTTCTCATAGCGGTCGAAGGCCGCATCCTACAAAAAGAGTGTCAATTACAAAAATGTTCGCGAGGTTCGAAAACGTATTTCGGCGAGGTTTGCGGGGTTTCTACGTCAATTTCAGAAAAAATGAAATTTTGATATACGGTACCGGCTGCCTTCAAAGTACCGTAACTCCAAAACCACCCCTTTTATTTTCGCGCATTTTTGATATGTTGTTTCGTACATGTCAAGGTATATTTGAGAGGTTTCAAAAGTTGAGACAAGTAGAATGCCGAAGAGTTACATTCAATATGGTACCTTGGTATTTTTCAAAGTAGTCGAAGGCAACATCCTACGGTAAAGTTGTCAATTATGAAAATGTTCCCCATGGTCAAAAACGTAAAACAGCGAAGTTTTGTGTCTTTACTCCTTGGGGTTTTTACACACGAACCCAATATTTCTGAAAATTGTACCTACCGTAACCCCCGTATACGGTAATTTCTGAAACTAAAAATTCGTACTAACGTTCAGCTATCATAGTACAACAATTACGCAAAATATCAAAAGATTCTAAGTTGGTCGTTTTTTCGAAATGTCCGGGCCATCCTTCGAGTTGTAAAAAACTCTCTTTTAAACCCTTCCTGTTAAACATTGCCCTTTGAGAATTTGTCGTTGTAAAATTACAAACCGCAATAAACAATTAAAAAACATCTGAAATTTCAAGGAAATGTGTAATAGTAATCATTTTCCGTAGAAGCCTTTTGTTGCGAAAAAATAGCATGAGAAATCGATAAGGCATCATGACTTTTAATTACCGTGTTTTTATGTTTGCAAAGGGCTGTGATTCGTTCGGCTTGAAGGGTTCTTTGATGAGGTGCGTCAACTGACAAGTGGTTGTAAAAACCTTTTTTTCAAGTTGTTTCTGCAACCTTTACAATTGTTTTTTTCGCCGCTTGCGGTTGCTGTATTCTCAAACTTTTCTTGGAAACGAATTGGTTTGGATTTGATGTTTTCTTCAGCGCTTTGAATGATTGTATTGTTACCACAGAATATTTACTGCTTCGTGACAAAAAAAAATTGATGAAAAAGCTCGAGCAAGGTTGAGAAAACATTGCCTCAGAAGGTTGCACATGAAATTCCGGAAGCAATGAAGGATTGCCATCGTTCCTACAAGCCTATTCAAGTTTCGCTCCCACCGCCCGAGCGGTAAACATTCTCCGCAAAAGAAGTCTTGTGAAGATCGAAAGATCTCCAGCTGCCAATTGAAGGCGTCTTATCATCCCGTCCGCAAGTTTTATGACCTCCGCTGATAAGAACGGAGAATTCCCCGTGAAACTTTTTTTTTAAATTTGAAATTATATTTTTTGCTCTTCTTGAAATACTTTTGGCAAAAAAATGAACAAAGTTTGAGATGCAACACAAAGAACATGAAGGGCAAGATAATCAGGGAACTTCTGAAACACCCGGCTGATAAAAGGTGGAAAAGTTCGTGTAATATGGACTGGAGTTACAAGAGCGGGCCAATTATTACGGCCGATATTTGGCTTACAGTAGCGGATCGGATCCAGTGGCAAAAAAATGGGCCATTTTGCTTCCTGGAAGTATCAAAAATGTGGCAAAATGCCTCCTTCTCCAAGTGAAAAGGTCTGCCGCTGTAGCTTACAGTTCAAGTGTTACAAGTTCGGCACTTGATTTTGATGAAGCTTGGAACAAATTTTAACCCATTTTTTACAGCTGGGCCTTTGGAACAACCGATATTTTTATTTCGAAATTTGAAAAAATGTAACATTTTTTTGCAAATTTTCACATCAAAATTCGCATGTCTATTTCTACTGTAGAAGGTAAGTTTCCACAAAAAATCAGCTTTTTTCGCGAGAAACTGGCAAAGATATGGCCAAGAATTGTTTTTCTCTCTAACCACTCTCTGCACTCCCTCTTTCACATACTCTCTCGGCCTCAAACATCGTTGAATATTTGGTTTTTTTTTATTTTAAGCATGTGAGAGACGGCTTGGAGGTGATTTATAGATGTGTTCGCGACGCGTTCACGTGAACGGATGCAAAAAACAATCATGGGAAATGACAGGTTATCATAAAAATGGCAACACAACAATGTTTGAGGAGAGAAATTGAATCATTGCTCGAATGAAGTTAACCTTCAAATCAATAGGAGCATCGCAAGTGGGCACCTCCAATTTTTTTAAAATTTTGCACACACCTCGGACATGAGCCAAATACGAACTGCTGAAAGTTTTAGCTCGCACTTTACAGGTAGAGGCGAGATATTTGACAATCTTTGCCGCTGAGAGAGTACGTAAAAAGCGGGGAGAGGTCAGAGAGAAGAATACTTTCTGGCGATATCTTTTCCAGGATGTTATGGAAACGATTGATTTTTTGTGGAAAAAATACTGTTTACGGTGGAAATAGGCATGAAACTTTTTGTATCAAAATTCGGAAAAAGAAGTGTCATATTTTTGCGAACTTTCGGCCTGAAAATCTCGGTTCTTTTCTGTAAAAGATTAGCCTGAAATCTTGCATATACGGAGAGCGTTTGCAGAGGAAAAACTATATAGAATTCAGCATATGTCATCAAAAAATCATCTTTAATTCGAAGGCATGCTTGATTAAAATGCAAGTGTTGCACTTCCAAGACTTCGTTGACGAATTTTAGATGACATTTTTTCCATTTTAACGCCCTTTTTTGGCCTTCAAGGCCTAAAAATCCTCTTCAATCCATGATCCTTTCAACTGCTATAATTTTGTCCCCACCCTCTCAAACAACAGTGCGTAATAAAAAAACAAACAACAGAACTGGCGTGATATTATTAACACACCAAGGCGTGCTCTTTGCCCGTATTTTACAGCCATATTGTTTACTCTTCTTCATTGTACTTGCAAATGCTGATAAGCCCGCTTTCCCAGTCAATTACAGTTTTTCCGGAGGGCTTAAAAAGCTGAGACAGACATTTTTTGAAGTCATTTTGCCTTCTAGGGCGGTTTTGATTATATTTTCGATGACTTTTTTCGTTTTGGAGTTGATGAAACATTTTTATTTTTCAAGGGAAACGCTTGAATTGAGGCGCTTATATATTAATGAAATGTTATTTTAATTAAACCCATGTTATTTTTACTGATATTTCAAGGCATCTTCAAGATTCTTAGAGTAAATTTTGCGAAAAGAAGCAAGATTTTTTGTTCGAAAATTGGTTGAAATTTGACAATTTTTTTTTTAATTTTCACATGAAAAATTTTTTGCTTATTTCTACTGTAGAGCGTAATGTTTCCACAAAAAATTATTTTTTTCCGCATTAAACTGTCAAAGATACAGCCAAAAAAAAGTTTTTTCCCTGACCACTCTCCACATTTCGCCCACTCTCTCGGTGACAAAGATTATTCAATATCTCGACTTCCGCTGCAAAGTACGGGCTAAGCCTGTCAGAAATTCGTATTTGACTTATGCCCGATGCATGTGCAAGTTTTGATAAAAATGGACGGGTCACACCGGGGTCATTTGATATATGTAAAAAAGTTTATTTTATTGTTGTTTTTTCGTTGATTCGTGTTTTTGCAATTTTGGGGCGGACACAATTCGGTAAATCAATTTGAAACATTTTGTCAAATCACTATCATTAACGTGAGGTGTTATAAATACCCGCTTCGATGGGGAATTGTTGCGGTTTTGGGGGTGCCAACAGCCTTCGCTGCGAAGGACAGGGTTCCAAGTGCGACGCTCAGATTTTGCTTTAATTTTGCATACATTTTGGGTATAGGCCGCATATCAATTTCTGAAAGTTCAAGCCAGCGCTTTACAGGGGCAGCCGAGATATTGAACGATCTTTGCGGCCGAGAGAGTATGCGAAATCCGGAGAGAGGCAAAGGAAACACCACTTTTTGGCCATATCTTTGCCAGTTTTGAGCGGAAAAAAATTTTGTGGAAACATTATTGTCTACGGTAGAAATAGGCATGAAATTTTTTATGCCAAAATTCGAAAAAAAGGCCACATCTTTGCCAACTTTCGATCTAACAGAAAAAAAATCTCGGTCATTTCTGCAAATTGCGAGCTAAGAGTCCGACACTTTTCTCAGGAAAAATTGCTCTAAATTTATGCCACTTTTCATCAAAATCGCAGTATCGTACTTGAAGCCCTTCCCTTGTGAGACACCAATTTCCTTGCAAAAAAAGCGATTTTTTCTTTCAAAAATTATTAGTTTGAAGTTTATGACTTGCAAGTTGCTTTTTCAAAACGTTTGTTTTCAATAATACCCTACCTTAAAGATCATTTATCAATTCACTTTTTGTATTTTTCTCTTTGTGGTTCATAAATATATATGGTATTCTTTCAGGATGAAAAAACGTGTCCTCAAGGTGGAGCGGAAAGGAAGTCAATGCGACTGTCAAGTGTGTGGAAGGCCAACGAGGGCCTACTTTCACAAATTATTCGTTTGCTGCGCTTGCACAATGTTTTACAGGAGGTAAGGTGATGACTAGTTTACAATAGAAGTGTCCTAATTGAAATCGTTAAATTTTCTTTGTATTTTGCACACGTAATAGGCATGGGACAAGCATAACTTCCCCAAAGTTTTAACTCATGTTTTGGAAGTAAAGCCGAGATATGCAACGGTCTTTGCCGCTGAGAGAGTAGGCGAAATGTGGAGAGCGGACCGAGAAAAAACCACTTTTTGGGGCCTTCTTGGCCAATTTCACATAGGATATTTCGATTCATTGTGTAAGCTTTACTCTCTCTGGAAAAAAAGGTATCAAACTTTAAGTCATTAATACTTAAACCTCTACACAGCTAACCTGAACGACTCTTTAGGAACTTCCGCGCCTTTCTCCGATCTCAATGCCGTACCGGCGACGGGGGCTGCGACCTCTCCAATGGGCCTCGTCGTTTCTGCCTCTACTGTCGACTGAACGCCTGTCGGAAGCTGGGTCTGCGGATGCTGGGAAAGAACCTCGTCGTGCAGACCAACGGCCTTCCAGCCGACGACATTTCCGAGGAGCAGCTGGAGGAAGCGGGGCCAATCGAGGGCTTCGAAAATGTGGGCTCCCCATCCACCAGTTCGGGCTATGGGAGCAGCTACAGTGGGTCGAGCGGGCTGTCGTTGTACCCGCCGAGTCTAACACAAGAAGTTTACATCGAGCCGAGCGACGGGATCCTGGATTTTTTGGGAAAAAGTGCGATTGAACTTCCAAAATTAAGGTGAGAAGTTGCTTATAAAGGCAGCTAGAACTTTATGAACACACTTTTACGTTGTGAAATAGAACATTGATTAATTGACACAGTAATTCCCAAATTTCAGGCTAATAACCAACGCCTTCCGTCAACTGGACGACCAACAAAAGTTCCTGGCCACAATGCAACGAGGCTCCGAGATGCTCGACTACGCCTGTCCCGCCGAAGAACTGATCTACTGCGATCGCATACAGTACGAAAAAATGGAGTCAAAGGTCATCCGGATTGCCTGTATGACACTGAATCGATTGATTGACGCCATCCAGCCTCAAATGGACATTGAGAGGAGAACCGAGATTATCCAGAACACCTCCGTTAACATGTCGCTAATGCACAAGATCCTCTGCACGTTCCGGCAATTCCCAGAGATGGGACAGTCGCTGTCGTCGCCGTTTACGGGCTATTATAGTGATCTCAACGACTTGGACGCGTATCTGGCTGATGTGTGGAACGAGGTACATATTTTTGTGTCTTTTAGGATCTTCCTCGCTTATATCCAACATTTTATGGCAAAAAATTACAACAGACTCTAGAGGGGCCAATAGCAAGGGGCACGTTTGTTTTAGCTATAACTCGGCAGTCTGTAAAACGCTTAGTGTAAGTCATATGTGAGAACGCTCTGTAAGAACCCCTGTTTTTTATACATAAAGATTTTAAAGTCATCTATGCCTTAGGGCGTTTTGAAAACCTGAATTTAAAGAATAGAGCGGTCAGAGATCAAAAGGTAGTTTTTTTTCGAAAATTTGGAAATTCCTTTAACCCCTTAGGGCCTAAATTCTCAAAAACGTGTAAGGCTGAAAATGAGAGCCCCGATAGTCATCATGAAATTCTATTTACACTAAAATGATCGATTTTTCTCCTAGTTAGAGCTAAAACAAAGTCTCCACTCTTTGATGGCTTTCCCTTTAGTCATCAGCTGTATAATTTCTATTAATAACTTCCCTTTAGAAAGTAGACATTGTTATGCGCCGATTCCACGCCGACATCTACACACACTACACTCCCTGCTTGGAGGAGGCGCGTTATTTGATGGTCCATCCAGTGGAATGCGCATACCTTGCCGTTCAAGCGACTCTGGAAAAGGCCTCCGACGACGTGGCATTCCGCATGTTCTCCGAAGGTCTTGACCACGAATTTGCGACCTTTCTCCAAATGAGGGAGCATTTTGAGAGCGCGGAGAGCAGAATCCATCGGCTGAAACAGTTCCAAAACAACTTTCATGTGAGGATTACAATATTTCGGAAAATTTCTGGTATACCATGGTTCTTACTGAAACTGTTTCAGAATTTCATCGCCAAATACATTGACTGCCATGGGATGATTGACCTGTTCTTGTCCGAATCCAAGAACGTCGAGGAACGACGCTCGGTTTGGTTGTCCAAGAAGGACTTGCAACGATACATCCAAGCCGCGTCTTCAGTGTAAATCATTGTATATAATGAATGTACAGAACTGTATGGTAAATAAGAGAACAAAAAACAGAATTGTATGATAAAAGAACAAAAAAAAACGCCAAGATTTTTAGGTCACATATTTCCCTCGACAGTAGAAATACACTGCTGGACAAAATGATATGACCACCTCAATTTTGCGCTGGCAATTTGTCCATGGTAAATGAATTGCTTTAATATTTGGTGAAAGTGAGTATGGAGCAATGTAACATGTACCCAAAAAGTATCAAAGGATTTCAAAAAGTGCAAAGTGAGTAAATTTTGGAAAAACGCGAAACCGCCAAAAATCGGCTGGACAAAATGATATGACCACGTGGTTTAATTCAATCTTTTACTAATCAACGCAATTTAACAAACAATCCTAGTAATCAGTGAGTCCTCCACTGATTACTAGGACTGGTATGGGGACACGTTCGGCCAGGTTTAGACGGGTTTGAACGCGTTAAACCATGTTTGATGCAGAGCTACCCAAACTGGTGATTATCTTCCATTAACGCTTTCTAAAACTTTTAAATGACGTTTTTATCATGTGATCTAGACGTGTAATCACCTGTGCAAGCCTTCGCTTTTCGTACGAACTCCATGGTGATCTGGTAGTGCCGATTCGGCAAACATCCGGTTACAATGTCCAGCTTTGGCGACCCATTTGCTACTTGACCCTGGGGATAGATGTGCTCCTTAGGTTTAAAGTGTAACCCAGAATCTCTCTAGAAAACGGCGAAGCCAAGAAAAGTCCCCGCTGACACGATCACAGCCTTGTAGATGCAACTTTGCCGACCTTCACCTTAACCAGCAAAACCGAGTTTTTCAAATGGATTTTTAGCGATGCAAAACGCGTTTTTCCAAATTTTACTCACCTTGCACTTTTTGAAATCCTTTGATACTTTTTGGGTACATGTTACATTGCTCCATACACACTTTCACCAAATATTAAAGCAATTCATTTACCATGGACAAATTGCCAGCGCAAAATTGCGGTGGTCATATCATTTTGTGCAGCAGTGTAGGCATGGACTTTCTGTGCCAAAAGAAAGACAAGAGCCAAATTCTTGTCAATTTTCGACCTAAAAATCTCGTCTGCAAAACGCGAGCTAAAAACCCCTTATTGTTAGAAATCTTTACTCTAAATTTTTGAGAAGTTTCATTAAAATGTGCTGTATGCACTTTGACCACTTCCCTTCATAACTCGAGTCGAAGATCTATTCATCAATTACAAACAAACAAACTAGTGGTAGTTATGGTTTGTAGCCCTTTTCAGCATCCTCAAAAGACCAGAAAAATTACATGTACAGGCGCCTTTGTGGCCCGATTTGGACTGGCTACGACTTCTTTATTGAAAAAGCTTGTATGAAGTGCCTGCGAGTCCTGGCAAAGAAGTGGGATAATCGGCGGACGCTCGGCGAAGGCTCAGCGGAGACTTGATGACGACTTGCAATATGTTCACTCCTTCAAATTTTAGTTATTAATAATGTTAGTTTTCTTTGCCCTGAGTTATTGTGTCATATAAAAGACCAAAATTTGCTGCAAAAAAGAAGATCCGTAACTTTTATCTGGATATTATTGATGTGAGTACATGTAAAATGCCTAAAAAAAGGTGATAAGATCCTAGGACTTGACCAATCTTATTTTTTCTACAAACTAATTGTAAGCCTTCTTTTTTTCTCGGACTCCTCAGACTCTCTCATTTTGCTTCACATCAAACATGTTGCATCTATTTGTTAGACTACATTAAAGATCAAAGCCAAAAAACGAAAATTTTTGTTCAAACTAGAAAACCTGAACCGCCCTCTGGTATTGCTGTAGGTGCTCAAATAAAACGTCTTTTGACATCATTTATGAATTTTTCATTTTGAGGGAGTTTCTGGCGTTCAAAGATGAGATTTTTTAATCAAATTTTGCCGATGATCTTCGAAATTTTTCGACTTGTTTATCGGAAAATTTTACATTTTGTTGGGGTTAAACTTTTTCCCCAACCTCAAAATTTTCATAAAGGGTCTTCGTTTTTTGGAGCAAGTTTCTATGTTACAACCACTCAGGATTAAGAAAACTATGATTAGCAATAGCTAAAATTAGAGAAATCGGCCATATTGTAAGTCCGCCAAATCTCCGCCGGGCCTTCGCCGAACATTCAACGGCTTTTACAGGCCTCGTAGGCGCCTTTTACCGTCTTTTTTGGCCATGTCATAGTCTTCGTATTGATCGATTTTGTGTTGATCCAAACTGTCGTCGACTCGAAAAGTCGGGAGGTTTTTTGTTCCTCCACGCCTAGGAAATCAATTGAAATCATCCGTTAAGGATGTATTTTACAATCTGGTTGATTACGTTTACCCATTTCGAGTTGCTTTTTACAATAAAAACTCTATGACATTCCGTCCGCCAAACCATAAAACGGACGCCTCAAACGTAGCTGTTTTTGTCCTTTAACGTTGCGGAAATGGAGCAGAGAACGGCCGTTTATAGTCTCATAAACAACACAAGATAATGTGGTGTTGTGTTGCCGAGGACGTCTCCATGTTTACTTCTAAAGGTTACTCCGTTTAATAGACATCAATTCGCCCCCCGAATGGCCTTTCCAGACCGTAAAAGAATGCAAACTTTACAGTGTTAAACTGAACCTTGCGATCATTGTTTACTTCATGTGAATTCGAGGCCTCTAGACGGTCGCAAAGCTACATTTTTACGGTAATGTTTCAGGGCATTAAAGGCGTTTCGCGCAGATCCATTGTGACAAGTCGACTGCCGTGAAGCGGTGAGAAAAAGTTGGTCCCGGCGCTCTCCACGGAAACATTTGGCCGTTCAGCCTCCGATGGTGTAAAGTACGCGGGCGCAGTGAACGGTTTTCGAGAGTCTTGCGCAGTTACAGTGAAAATGAAAATTGAAAGCGACAGGTCGCTTCATTTTTCTGCTTGTTTTTGTCTCAATTCGTCAGCGGGAATCGGAAATGAAACAAGTAAAAAACATGGGTAATCTTATTTGGGGAGGTCATCTTTTTTCGAGATGAGATTCGAAAAGAAAAGGAGTGGGAAATTGTAATGTAAAAATCTCAAATATGTCATACAAGGGTAGTTTTCAATGTGGGGAAAACAGATTTGGATGATATCCGGCTTTTATTTGGAGCGTATTTTTCTGTCAGTCTGTCGGGAAAGTAATGAGCACTTTGCAGCAAACTTCGCATCGCCAGGGAGAAAACTTGTCAATTCGGCGACCGCAGCGACATTTTACTCACTATATTGCCGGAGGAAGATAACAGGGGAGTCCTTTCAGTGAGGTGCTCAGATTTTGCAAGACTTATAGCTCGTGCTTTGGTGAAATAACCGAGATTTTTTGCCGAAAGTTGGAAAAATTTATCATTTTTTTTCTTTTTTTTTAAGTTTTGCATGAAAAGTTTCATCCCCATTTCTACCGTAGAGAGTAATGTTTCCACAAAAAATTACTTTTTTCCAGCGGAATTGGCAGAGATATGGCAAGATGTCCTTTTCTCTCCGATCTCCTCGTTTCGCGTACTCTTTCGGCCGCAAAGATGATTGAATATCTAGACTTTCGTACCAAAGTACGAGCTAAACGGTTTTGACAAAAATTGAAGGGTAACACTGGGTCATTTGATATGTAAAAAAGTTCATTTTATTGCACTGTGTTTTTACAATTTTGTGGCGGACACAATTCGATAAATCAATTTGAAACATTTTTTTCAAATTGCTGTCATTAACGTGAGGTGTTGTAAATACCCGCTTTGATGGGAATTGTTGCGGTTTTGCGGTGCAAACGGCCTTCATTGACAAGGCAAGGCTTCCAAGTGCGACGCTCAGATTTTGTTTTAGCTAATTTCCGAAAGTTTTAGCTCGGGCTTTGCCAAGATATGCCCAGGCACAGATTGGATATTCCACAATCTTTGCAGCCGGGAAAGTACGCGAAATGCAGAAGCTAGGGTTTTTAAGAATTGATACGTCGCCTACGACCGAAGTCATAACAAAATTTATACAATGACGGACCTGATCCATTGGCCAAAAGCGTGCCATTTTGCATCCGGGAAGTATCAAAAATGCAGCAAAATACCTCCTTCTCCGAGTAAAAAAACCCCGGTTTCAAAAGCACGCCCATTCTTTTTGTGAAAGGGCGCGCATTTCAAAACGGAGTCTTTTTTTTTGGTTGGAGAGAGAGGCATTTTGCCACATTTTTGATGCTTCCCGGATGCAAAATGGTACGTTTTTTGCCACTGGATCAGGTCGCTCACTGAAAGTAGGAAACTTGAGCGTCGCACTTGGCGTACGTATCTTTGAAAACATAGGACTTGCCCCTAACTTGTGCTTTCCAGAAATCAGGGATATCTTGGTCAAAATTCGTCACGAAAAACTTTTTTCGATTTTTCCCTTGTCAAATTTTGTTAAAGACAGGTTTTACAAGCCACTTTCAAATTGCACTTTCCCAACTTTAATGCTGTTTTTGTTGACTTCCGTATGCCCAAACGTGTATCACTTGACTCTTGCCTTCCTGAACGCATGTTTAAAGTCATAAAGCTACCGTTTTCCGTTCCCCCATCTTCCGGCTTGGAAATGCACCGCAGGGCAATAAATTATGACAATTTCCAATGAATGCAGATGTAATAAAGGGACGTTCCCGCGGCATAATTAATCAATTACCGTCTTTCCGCCTTATTTTAGAACCGATTGCGGGAACTAAATAGAAAACATAACCCCGTCTTGATTAGAAAACAATTTCATCTTGATTACAACGACCAACACGCACTGCGATATGGAAACACCGTTGGCTAGACGGAGTTGGAGTTAAATTGAGAATGAAACAAAATAGGGAGCATGTGATCTTTGCTTTTCGGTATTCTTGGAAGCATTCCGCGGAGTTTGGAGCCACTTGTAAGGCTGAGTTTTAAAAAGGAAGTGCTTGACGTAAGACGCTCAGGTTTTAATTGAAATTTTGCGCACACCGGACATAAGCCATAGATCAACTCCTGAAAATCTTAGCCTTCGATTTGCAGCGAGAGCCTAGATATTGAAAGATCTTTGCCGCCGAGGGAGTACGCAACACGCAGAGAGCTGTTAATGGGAGAGAAAAACACTTTTTGGCCATAATTTTATAGCTACGCGCGGAAAAAGCGTTATTTTTTGCAAAGAAAACTTTTCGTGCTGGTAGAAAAATGCATGGAATTTGTGATTTTTGAGCTAGCAAAAAAATTTTGCCCACTTTCGACTTCAAAATCACGGTCGTTTTCAGCGGTGATCAACACTTTCGGTCACTCCTTGCCAGTTTTACTCAGAAAAAAATTGTGGAGACATCAATCTTTACGGTAGAAATAGGTATAGAAATTTCCAAGTTTCAACATCTTGCTGTTTTTTTCTGCAAAGCGCGGACTAGGAATCTTGCATGTCTTAGAAAACAATATTCTAAACATACCAAGTTTTATCGCTCTAACCGCACTCCGCATTTCGCATAATCTCTCGGCCGCAGAGATCAGGGTTTGGGGGCGTATACCCAATGAGCGCCGCTCTTGTGACACATCCCTTATTAGTGCACTTTTCTTTTTATGGAACACTCATAAACAGTTTTTTCTACCAGTGCACTTTGTATCGAAGTGTTGATTTACAGTTTTTTGTCTGCTCAAGCAAGATTCCTGACCAGCTGCTGGAGACAGAATGTAGTCCTCAGCCCCAAGGACACGGCTAGGAATGCAGTGGAACTTGCAAAATTTTAAAATAACAAGCGGAGTGCTTCCAGGTTGTGCTGCTATTTAAAGCAGAAATTCTTAAAAGTACGTATACCGATTGACTCATCCATCTTTTATTGTAAAATGAAATTACGGTGAGCCGTTCTTTCCTTGCAGCGTTGCCGTTGCTTGTTTCTACAGCGTGTGTGGGCCGAGTAAGGAATTTCATTGACTCTTAATTGATGTTCGACGCATGATTTTAAGGGAGATGCACTTTATTTTCGACTCTGAGAACTTGAGGGAACTCGGCAAAACCTTAGATTATTTTTTTTGTAACATGTAGCGCATATCTACGACTCTATGGCGAAGGGTCAGGGGTTGTCAAGACTTAGATAGTCGAGGTCTAATGAGGCCCCTAACTTTCCCTCTACTCCTAGTATCCACTGCCCGTAATAACCTGGAGACCGCAACTAGAGAATTCTAGCTGAAAAAACTGTCAACTCACGCAAATTGATTCCAATTAGCTTGGACCACCGGACTGTATCAAGGGGACTTCCAACAATTCCAAATATAGGTTTATTTCCCAAAACGAGTGACCGAAAAGTGATCGGTCTATTACATTTACATCAACATATTTGTCGGTTTATGCTAATTTCTGGAAATTCTTCACGGAACCGTGACAGAGGACAACCGCCCCTTAGGAAATAGGCACGATCTTAGAATGAAGATTTATTGTCACAACACACCGACGCACGTCAAACTGAGATAAACCAAAACAGTCCGCTGAATGGATTGGGATTTCTCCAAAAAAAAAACGTGAAAAAAACCTTTCGTTGGAAAAGAAATGGGGAATTTTTGGGGCGTGAGAGTACGCTTTTGCGCATCTTTTCTCTGTCTTCTCTGCGAAATCAAGACGAAATGTAAAAACCCGATAGCGAAGGGTCTATTCCGGTCACCGGACTCCTCAGTTCAAGAAAGCGATACGTTTTTGTGAATTTTGCCATGGAAAGTTTAGTAATAATTTTTACTGTAGACGGTAATGTTTCCACGACAAATCTTTTTTTTTTGCGCTGCACTAGCAAAGATATGGCTGAAAGTTGTCTTTCTATCTATTGAAGATAGCCACAAAAAAGTTATGATATTTTAGTCTTTCCTACTTCCAAAAAGTATCCGCTACACACACCTTGATCTTCTGACAACGTTTTAGTATTATATTTTTGGCTTTTCCAACGCCAATGGAACAAAACAAGAATAAACGTCAAGCCATTAATTCCGTTGATTGATCTTATGATGACACCGCAATTCACAACTCTCAGAATCAACTCAAGCCCTATCCTGACTCTGAAACAATCGAATAAATCCCATCGCTTTCAAGGGTACGCCGTTCTTTTTGAAGATTGCCCAACATTTGGAAGTCGCCGCAATTTCATCGATCACCGTTTTTTGCAACTTTTTTCTCCGTTTTCACAGTGATTATGAGAGAGATGGGACCACACATGAAGCGGCAAGAAGTCAAAAACTAACTGTTGTCTTAGGCTACCAGGAAATGCCCGAAAGCAATTTACAATCGTCCCCGTCTGGAGAGAGATGAGTTGCAGGCATTCAGTGTAACTTGATAATTAACGCAATATCAGAGTCGTCTCTGTTAATGCTTTATCGTTTGGTTGGTATGTTAAAGAAACACGACGATTACGTATGAATTACGCTTTTATGGGTTGGAAGACGAAATGTCAATGGATTTTTTGACATTTCGTCATCTCCTACGTCGTGTAAACAAAGTAGGAATAATGTTTACTCGTCTTAGCATTATTTTACATGGTCTTTAATGATTTTGAGCTATCGGTCTGTCGGAAAAATAATGTGGATTTGTCACGATTTGGAATTTGATAGAGAATTTTTGAAAAATTCTCTATCATCGCTTTGCGACGGCTAGCCTCGGCTGGAGATTTGGGGCGAGGCTGCGACAAGGCATTTCTCAGCGACAAATCCACACTATTTTCCCGACAGACTGATGTTGAAAATTCCTTTTGATGAGTAAAAAATTCCATGACGTTTCGTCCGCCAAAGCCATAAAATACACAATTCAAATGTTATTGTTTTGCTCGTCCTCCAAGTTTTACAATCGGAAATTTCGAGCTTCTTGATCCCTAGAATAACATCGCATTTGCTGTTTACACCGTAGAAAGGCTTCTTACTACGCCTTGTTTGTACAACACTCATCGTTCTTAATTTAATCCTCTTTACTGTTTCGAACCTTTTTGGCGGTATTTCTTCGGGCGTTCGACAACCTCAACCTGTAGGGACTTTGGAAAAGGACGAGGTGTCGCTTTATGTTGTTTGACAGTTCCATATAACCTGGGAGAAAGTAGCTCTGTTTTTGGTAATATGGGTTATACATATATTATCATCAGCGAACTCCTGCAGGAGCTCCTGACTTTTATTAAACTTTTTTAATAGAAGCTTTAGTAGTGACGTATGCTCAGCTTGTTTTGCATGACGTTGGACAACCCAATATTGCATGTAAATTATGATTTGTTTTAATCCTGCCGTCTCACTCCCTGGATTTGTATATTATAGTTTTGCTGTTGCAAATCCACATTATTTTCACGACAGACTAAAATAAGACATTGAAATTTGTTTGTTAGTTTCTAACAGTTATTGATGCATTGTGTTCATATAATCCCTGTTGCTTTCGAGACTCTGTGGATCATTGTGTTTTCTGATGCATTGCTTTCTTGTCTTCATTGCTAAACATGTCTGTGTTGCAATTTCTTAATCGAATTCTGCCTTCATTCCGATGAGACGTCACAGTTGTACGCAGCATGTTCCCAGAAACACGGTTTCTTTGTGTCGATGGGATTGTCAACTCAGTTGAACCCAACCTTTTTTCAGTTCATTGGACCGTTCCCTGCTTTGGCACGGAGCGCTAGCTGCAGGGTTTCTCGCCCACTTCTCGAGTAGTTGACTCGTTTACGCGCCATTGAACGGGTAGTCTTGTTGTTCGCGAAGTTCGAATTGTCATTTCGAATCAGCCGTTTCTGCGTCGTTAAGCGAGCCTCGCAAGTTTTTGAAACATCGTCGTCGTCGGCGTCCCGCGGCCGGAGATCGTATCGTGCTCGGTACTGTAAAATGAGGTCGTCGGTGAGGGGGGTGGGGCGGCCGGCGGTGTGGAATGCGCTGTTGTAATGCTACATTTTTGTCCCCGCCGTTCGTTATTCTTGTCATTCGGCTTCCGGTCGGGTTGATCCCTGCAGTTGCGGAGAGTTGAGGGCGTCCCTCCGGCGGCTACAGTAATACGTATTTGTATAAAAGCAGGGCCGGAGATGGACTGAGGCTCAGTCGGTTCGCCAACTCCTCCAACGCAAGGGGATCTTTTGATCGTCGCTGCTGTTGAATCAATTTTTCTTGACTGTTTTCCCACCCAGTGATGTTCGACTTTCGGAAGGGTTGGGCTATGTTTACAATCTTGAGTGGAATCACAACCCCGACCATTCGCAAAATCACTGTATTAAACACGGGACCAATTCAGAGCCCTCCCCCTTTATTTTGTTTGTAATGCAGGAATCAATTGCGCGTTATATTACAATACCACTTTACACTTATTTGCACTTTTGTCTCCGCGGCAAGACGACTGGAATTACATTTTTTATTGTTTCGGGGTTTCGGATCTGCGACTTTTTATCAGTCTTTCTGATCTAATGAAGGTTGTTGTTTTGATTGAATTTCTGCAGTGGTGTGAGAAATCGACCAAAGAAAGCGGTCGGATTCACAGGCTAACATTGCTTAGCATGCTTTTTATAAATTTTTCTTTGTTTTTCTGCCTTGAGGGCGTATTCAAAAATCGTTACAAGAAAATTGTTTAAAAGGTACTGTAGACTCCCTAGATGCCGTATCAGTCTGTAGGAAAGATAATGTGGATTCGTCGCGTCTTGAAAACGGCCGTCATCGCTTTGCGACAGCGGCTGGAAACTTGTCGCGCGACTGATTCGAGGCAAGATATTTTGCGACAAATCCACATGATTTTCCCAACAAGACGCTCGTCATTAGGGAACAAGGACTATAGGGAATAAAAAGGGTTTTTTTATACATAATTACCCCCCAGGGCTGAAAAAAATACTTTGCCGGAGGCCGACTTTTGCTGAATTTTTGGTTATGTTCTCGAATCAATAAACTCCCAGAGATATTAAAAATTATTTCGATGTCACAAGTAGCTTCAAATAAGTGTTCCACAAGTGTTAACATCCAGTTCAATCAAAAAAGTAAAAGCCTATTTCTCGCCATTTTCCCCTTGAAATTCACCCACACTGCCCTCCGAAAACCCCTCCATCGAACTCTCCTTCCGTGCCCTCAATCCCCGTCGCCAGAAATAACTCGGATTCCTTCAGGCAATGGGCAAAACCAAGCGAAGATCACCGCGTTCGTTCCGCTCGGACGAGCAATGCGAGTGCGCGGTCTGCGGTCGGCTCACACGTGCCTATTTCTACAAGCTCTACGTTTGTTGCGCCTGTACGATGTTCTACCGAAGGTAAGAGGATTAAGGGCGCGTCGACCCGGGAAAATTGTAACATTTTGTTTGGAAAACATAGCGTTTATAATACAAAAATTAAAGTTTGTGACGAGAATACGACTGAAACACCAGTCAAATGGATTACAGCTTGTTTATCCACAAAATTTCAGAAACTTCCGATCATACCCTCGAGCGCAATGCCGTTTCAAGGACGAGAATTGCAACCTGAAGTCGGGACCTCGCCGCTTTTGCCTGCGCTGTCGTCTCAGCGCCTGCCGAGAGCTGGGCCTTCGCATGTGGGGCAAGAACTTGGTGGTGCAGGCCAACGGAATGCCGGCTGACGATATTCCGGAAGAAAAGTTGGAGGTAATCCCGATTGAACAAGACCTGGAAATGATGAGCATGGACAATTCGCATGACTACATTTGCTCGCCGGCTTCTTCCAGCAGCTCCGGCTACAGTAGCTCGAGTTCGACGATGTGCGAAGAGCTGTTTGTGGGAGAGGATCCGCTGCAATTTTTGAATCAAAAATCTGTCGAGCTGCCGTGCTTGAAGTAAGTGTCCATTCTCTAGATTACAAGTCTCTCTTTCACAGGAAAATCACCGACCTCTTTCGGCAATTTGATGATCAACAAAAGTTCTTGTCGACCTTCCAACAAAAGGCCGAGATCTTCGATTATGCTGAAGAAAATTTGGTCTACATGGACCAGGTTCAATATAAAGAACTGGAGATAAAAGTGTCAAGAGCGGCCGCCGTTTTGGTAGCTCAATTTCTCAGCGAGTTCGAGCTGGAGGATGAGGATGCCTTGGCGATTGTAAAGAGTGTTATTGGACAGATCTCGTTCCTACACAAAATTCAACACACAATACGGCAATTCCCCAACAAAAGCTCAAACATTTCACTGTTCAGCGGATATTACAGCGATCTTACGAACCTGGAAGACTACTTTGCGGATATTGCGGACACTGTAAGTTAATTGGCGAAGTGCAACATACGATGACATAAGCTTTATAGTATATATTTAGCAATATGTATTTTGCTTTCAGTGTTCGTATCAACACGTTGCAAACTCCCTCCGAGTCTTCATCAGTCATTTCTATAGCCTGCTGGATGAATGTCGAATGCTTCAAGTGCATCCAGTCGAGATCTCTTACCTTATCGGGAAATCTATCGCAGAGGAATGTAAGCATACCCAAATTATCACCCGTTTTTTGAACAAAAATACTTTCAACTTTTGTAGTTTTTTTTGCAAATTACAGTAATCCTTTTCAGTAGGCACCTCGCTGTCAGCCACAACATTTGCCAACAACCTCTCCAGCGAGTTCTTCCAATATTTGGACATCAATTTCTACACCAGTGAGCGATTTTTGTCGATTACTGCGTTCGGAAATGGAGTCAAAAACCTGCTCAAGACCTACAGACAGGCCGTGGAAGAGATCTCAGCAATCTCTGACGATCTGATGGTCCCATTGAATGGGAATTTATCCGACAGGGAGCTTCTCAATTATGTGAATTTGTACAGATATCCCCGATGACAGCAGTGTTTAGTATAGTATTGTTATTGTTGCAAGTGAATAAATGTGTATGTACATGTATAGATCATGAGTGGAAGATTAAAAAATTGATATTGTTTCCAATCTTTGACCAAAAACAAAGTTTATAAAACCGCCTGGATTACTGTAACAAGGCGCTTTTTTCTTGGCCACACAGATACTTTAGACATTGGACTCTTGGCGTCACCATTATTATCATAGACTTTTATAATCTCATCGAATCTTGTTATGTTTCAATTGCTTATCAGACCGCTGTTCGCTTTGTTATCTCGTCGGATCAAATGTTTCAGCGAAAATTGCTGTAACAAAGTTTAATGTTCGAAAAAAACGATATCGGCTAGGCAGTTTAGGCCACAAACTTTATGTAACCGGACTTTTTGACAATGAATCTGGAGCAGGTTTAGGACCTGGCGTTTCCAAACTTCCGGGCGGTTAGAAGAACCATTCTGCATGTTTGGAAATCATCGATGGCTACTCCTTGTGGAGTAGTTACCACAAGGTTAATCAGGCATTTTTAAAGGTTCAGAAACCATTTTTTTGAAAACCCATGACTTATAAAGCGGCGGTTAAATTCAATAGATTCGTGTACTTACAGGGGAAGTACTCCAAGTGCGACGATTATGATGAAACTTGGCACAAATTTATAACATTTTTTCTAAGAAATATACGAGAATCCTAGCTCGCGCTTTGCAGAGACAACCGAGATTTTTAGATCGAAAGTCGGCGAAAATTTAGGACTTTTTGCCGAATTTCGGCGCGAAAAGTTTCATGCCTATGTCAACCGTAAAGGATAATGTTTCTACAAAAAATGAAATTTTTAACCGCCAATTTTATGGCCAAAAGCGCTTTTTTCTCTGACCGCTCTCCACGTTTAACGTTTTCTCTCCGCGGCAAAAATCGTTCGATATTTCGACGGCGCCCGCAAAGCGCGAGCTTAAACTCTCAGGAGTTGATATTTAGTCCATACCCTAAGTGTGTGCAAAATTTAAAGAAAATCTGAGCGTCGCACTTGGAGTACTTTCCTTGTTAAATGTAACAGCCAGTTTCTAATGCAAAATTTCAATTGGGCTAGGTAATGTGCCTAGCCAAACTTTTGGCTATCCGTGGAAACAAGTCCCGGGATGGACACAATTTTTTGGCTAGCCACTAAAGGAAGTTCAAAGCTCTTCCGGTATGCAATTAAATGCTGACGCATGGAGTTGCCCTCGGAGTCGTCATCCAAAAACGTTGATGTGCTCTAATTTTTAACAATGACCGTAGAAAATAAAAATATTTTTTTATCCTGACAGCTTCAAGCCTTTTTTGTCGTGTTTTTATCGTATTCGAAACACAGCCATCCGATCCCTGATCTTCCTTTCTTTTTGGATGTCCCGGTCGGCTGTTCATATTGCACTTTTCCTACGCTTTACTTTCGAAAACCTCTTCGAATCCGATTAATTTGAAAACGAAACTCCACCGAAATGTAACCATGGCAATGCCTGAAACCTGTGGGTCCGTTCGCTGATGAAAACGCGGCACGCAAAGTTCGCATCACTTCATTTTAATCCCAATCTTCGTTCGGGTTAAACACTTGCTCCGTTTTTTGCCTTGTTCCTCTGAAATATCGTTTCCGTTCAGTGTTTTTTGGGGAGGAACTTTAAATTGGCTTTGCATTACATTCGCTTTTCGGGTCCTAAAATTAGTAATGCACGAACGTTGTGTGATGTTGTTGTCTAATCCATGGAAAGTTGTCTGAATTAGGCGATAATTTCATTCATTATACATGGGGTTTTGTCCAATTGTAGGAATTTTCGATCTTCATTTACAGCGAGAGTAGACGATCAAATATTCATGAAACTTGGCAAGAATTAAGGGATACTTTTTGTAAGACATATGCGAGATTTCTAGCCCCCGCTTTGCCGAAACGACCCTGATTTTGAGGCCAAAGGTTGGTAAAAAGTTTTTTGCTTGCTTTGAAATTAAAAGTTTCATGAATTTTTCTACCAGAGCGATAAGTGTTTTCGCGAAAAAATAAAGTTTTTTTGCGCATTGCTAGCCAAGTTATGGCCAAAAAGTGGTTTTGCCTCTTATTTTTCTTCGATGCAAATATCGAAATTAGGATAATCGAGTGTGCTGATTTCGAAATTGACATTCCTTTTTTGAATGTTATTCTTTTTGAGTAATACTGTAAAGTAGGAATCTTTTGAATTTTTTTCATAAATACAGGGTGTACCGATTTTGTGGCCCGATTTGAATTGGCTATAACTTCTTTAATTTTGGGCCAAATTTTAAAATTCTTTTTTTCCTGAATCCCGCTTTTCTTGTGAGCTTCCCGATCAAAAATTTCATAATCAGCTTTATTTTTACGGTATATAGAGAGCAAAGTTTGTATTCTACCAAAAATCAACGCCAAATTCGTAGACAATCGGGGAAAAAGCCCTTCTTCTCTCTTCGTTCTCCATTTTTTGCTCACTCTCTTGTCGATCATCGAATATCTTCGAGATGCTTAATTGCGAAGTTTTCTTTTCGCAACTTTATTGTAAAACGATATTAAGCAATTGATTATTTTTATCATTCGGTAAGAAAACCTGATTAGACCAAGTAATATTTATTTGTTTGACCATCGATACATCGATTTTTGATTGTTCTCTGGGGTGATGAAAACCCTGTTTTGTTGTGTGGAGCTTCTTTTGAAACAGTGAAAAATATGCGTTTGGCAGGGGCAGTGCGACGCTCTCGGTGAGACCTGGCACAAATTTAGAATGTTTTTTAAGACATATACGAGACTTCTTGCTCGCGCTCTGCGGACACTGACGAGATTTTTAGGACGGAAGCTGGCGATACAAGAATGGTTTTTTCACATGTCGGGCATGGACTAAGTATCAATTCCTGAAAGTTTTATCTCGCGCTTTGCAAGCGCCACCGAGATATTGAACCATCTTTACCGCCGAGAGAGTAAGCTAAATGCGGAGAGCGGTCAGAGAGAAAAAACGCTTTTTAGCCACAACTTTGCGAGTTTTATGCAAAAAAAATTTGATTTTTTTTGTAGAAACATTACCCTTTACGATAGAAATGGGCATGAAACTTTTCGCGCCAAAATTTGGCAAAAAGCATTAAATTTTCGCCGACTTTCAATCTAAAAATCTCGGTTGTTTCTCCAAAGCGCGACCTAGGATTCTCGCATATATTTTTTTTTAAAATTATTTGAGATTTGTGCCAAGTTTCATCAAAATCTGAGCGTCGCACTTGGGGTACTTCCCCTGTAAGAAAGGCACGGTCAAAAAGTGTTTTCTCCCCTCTCTCGCTGTGGTCTATGCCTGAACTGTACGTAGAATTAGAAGAGGATCTAAAAGTCACACTTGGGGTACTTCCCTTATGAAGTCATCCCCAAAAAAAATTGAGTATCGTACGATAGACTACAAATGCCGAGCACTTTTTGGTAGTCCTTGAATAAGTGTGTTCCTTACGTTTTGAAAGCATCTTTTACAACCCGTTAGAGGAACTTTCTCTCTTCCTCTGCGAAAACAGTCCATTACATGGCCTTTTACCTCGGTTAATTCCAAGTATTCACAGGGCGGAAAGTCTTGTTCGTCGCTTCGTTTACATCCTCTCAGTCGTGAGGGTGTTGTGAATGTATTTTTACAATCCTTATTTATATTTAGAAAGGATTTTAGGAAAATTTTTTCAAAAGCTTGGCGCTACAAAGCTTTTCAACGTATAATTTGATAATTTTAGCTCGCGCTTTGCAGGGCAGCCATAGTTTTTGCAGCGACCTAAATAGGCAGGAAATCAATGTTTTTATTGTTCTTATAGCAAAAAGTTTACAGCATGCTTGAAAACCCGGATAAATCATTTTGTGAGCAAAATAAACAGCTAAATGTATATGGATAAAAGAAAATTTTTTGTGAAAAGAACAGCGTCTATCGTCAGAAAAGGCATGAAGCCAAAATTCACATAAAAATGTCATATTTTTGCCGACTTTCGACCTGAAAATCTCAGTCCTTTCTGTAATGCGCGAGCTTGCAATCTGGCACAACTCGATAATTCAAATTCATGCCAAGTTTCATCGAAATCTGACGGTCGCATTTGGGCCGCTTCCTTGCTGAAATTATTTTAACTTAAAGCCGAAACAAGCGGAATCTTGACAAAAAAGTTTAAGCTTCTTACCTAATCTATTCCACCCCCGGCGATTTCTTTTCTCCCATTTTTTCGTTTTTACAAACCGCTTTGACTCTGCGTTTCCTCTCCGTAACAAACAACGTTTCAATGATTAGAGCGGCTGATGTGTGTGCATGACTCTCCCAAAACATCAGAAACGCGAAAAAAGTTTCACGCGTGTGTCCGCTCTGCCCGCTTTCCCACCAAAACATTTGGGTCGGGAGGGGTGACGGACGAGAGCGAAACATGGTGCGTTCTACCTGCAAAGACGTCTCTTTCCCACCTTGTACATTCGGTGGGGTCTCCGCTTTCGAGAACTACACAAATTGGAGGTCGGGGCGATATTCGGATTCCGCGGGAGACCCTTGTGATTCTTGCTTTCTTTTTTGTCTCATCTGAACTTCAGGTTGAGGCAAACCGTTGGATTTGTGTATCAGCTGTTGTTTCGCGTGTAATATCTCTTTGTTTTGTCTTGATAACCAAAATTTTGATTAAAAAAATTGCCCTAAAAGGCGGATTGTTCGCACTTTTCGACGATTTTACACGTCAATTACTCTTTTTTTTATTGCTTTTTCGAGCAAAAAGTTGTCACATTTCTCATCGCCGTAGGGTCTTTGCACTCTTAGACCTCCCAAGGGGATTGTTTTTTTCCAATTGGAGTGTTAAATTGAGGTTCATGTAACTTTTACGTATCAATCTTTCGACTATAGGTCTTGGCGGGCATTTCATTTTTACAAAAATTTTTTTTTACTGAAAACACTGCCACTCCTCATAAGCTCCTCTCCAGCTCCTCTTTGTTTGTTTTTCATCCCGTACATTAGACTGGAAAGACTGTAAGTAAGCGGCTTGTTGTAGATTTCAGCGAATTTTAAGGCTTTCCAAACGTTTTTCAATTTGCCAAATGTATAAAAAACGGATTGGTTCGTATTTATCCCCTTTTTTCTGTCGGCAAAACACGATTTTGGGTGTAAGCTGTACGATTCCGTGGTAATTTAGATGTACAAATCGAACCGAGAGCGTTTTACACTTGCCCTTACGAAAGTTATTAAGTACTCCATGTGGGACACTCAAGGGTTTTGTTTAATTTTGCGTAGATTTAGGGCATAGACTACATAGCAATTACTGAAAGTTTTTGCTCCCGCTTGGCAGACGTAGCCGAGATATTGCAAGATCCTTGCCGCCGAGAGAGTATGCGAAACGGCGGAGAACGGCCACAGTGGAAACCATTACTTTTTCAGTATATATCCCAATGCTAGAGCAAAAAACTATAAGTTTAGCTCGCGCTTTGCAGGGGCTGCTCAAATATTAAACGACCTTTCGCGTCGCGAAAAGTCGCGGAAGCTGGTAATCATTTTTTGGCCATAAATTTGCTGGTTAAGAACGGAAAAAGTGGATTTTTCGTGGAAACATTACTGTCTATGGTACAAACAGACATGAAACTTTTTATGCCAAAATTCGCAAAAAAGTGCCACTTTTTTCCAATTTTCGATCTAAAGATCTCGATAATTTTTGCAAAGCGCAAGCTAGGATTCTGGCATATGTTTCGAAAGCAACTAATCTTAAATTTTTGCCCAATTTCATAAGAATCTGAGCGTCGCACTTTGAGCACTTTCCCTATGAATTCATTTCACCTCAAAAACGACTTACGTAGATCCTGTTGCATGTCTTGTGTCACCCGACGTCTTTCGTTGAAAACACCCGGTGTGCAAAGGCATGCACATTCACTGACGTAGAAGGGAGATGATTACAGACGATTAGCTTAGTCTGAAGTAGACACTTTGGATAAGACGGTAATTGCCGTATATGTTTATTGTATTTTTGTCACGTTTTTGGACCTTTTCTCGTACTTAATTTTGCAGTATTACCTGTTGTTAGCTTAGTCTTTTGAACTTGTTTGATGTGGTGTGACCATTTTTCAAAACTTTACTTGAAAATATTGTGTGAAGTTGTGAAAACTTTTCTTTTGCTTAACAGTTTAGTATGAGTTTGTATTCATGCGAGTTTTGATCAATGTGCGACGCTCAGATTTTGATGAAACTTGGCGCAAACATTACCTTTTTCTTATCTACATGCGATTCCTAGCGCTGCTCTATGCCGAAATGACCGAGATTTTTTAGGTCGATAATTGGCGGAAATGATGTCATAAATGAATTTTGCGTGCGGCTTTTAGGTGGAAAAATATTTTTTGCGGAATAATTCTTCATTTTGTTATTATATTTCTTGTTAACCCGCTTGAACAAAACTATTTATAGTTTTATAGTTTCGTCCAAATTGGGATTATTTTCTTTATTTATTCAAATATTTTTTTATTTATTCACGTTGCAGTTGTCTTTTCCGACAATATTTGCTAATCCTTTCATAAAATACGTAGACTTCTCATCACGGGGTGGCTTTTCGTTCAAACTTCCGCGCTCCCAAAACGAATTTTTCCGAGCTGCGCCCAGCTTTAAAGTTAAGGGTTTTTATTGACGTTGCCGGCAATTTTAAATGGACCTAAATGATAATGGGATTTAGAATAAAACTAAACAGAACACCAAGGATACCAAATGATCTTTTTTGCGACTTTAGATATCACTTGCAGCCTGCAAAAAAATAAAAAAAAATACAGCGGGCCACAACGCAGAAGTTTCCTCTCTTTTGGCGCTGTGCCATTGGGACATTACAATGGCATAGCGACATAGGTGGTATTCGATTACTAATTTGCTGGAGCATCAGTCTGTCGGGAAAATAATGCGAATTTATCGCAGCATAGCGTCTCGCCTCGTGCTACATTATCTCTCTAACCGTCACATAGCGATCAAGGGCAATTCCAAGGTCGAATCTATAGTGGGGGAGCTGATCCAGTGGCAAAGAACGTACCATTTTGCATCCGAGAGGTGTCAAAAATGTGGCAAAATGCTTCCCTCTCCAAGTAAAAAAACTTTGTTTTGAAAGGCCTCTGCCCCACATAAAGAGCGAGCGCGCTTATGAAATCTGAGTTTTTTTGACTTGGAGAGGGAGGTATTTTGCCATATTTTTTGATACTTCCTGGATGCAAAATGGCACGTTTTTTTGCCACTGGATCAGGTCCCCCATTGTACATTGTGTTCGCGACAGACTCCGATTTGCACGATGAACACGGGCTTTCGAGGTTTTCACCGTGCGAAAAGAGCACAACGTATGGTGCGTGGGCGATGAAAGCCGGTGAAAAGTCTACGCACTGTATGGAGAGACCAGCAGATTCCATCGATGTTGGTGGCAGCGTAAATACGTACTTTTCCCCTTGCGATCTTTTTATCATTTTGCCTGTTCTCTCTTCATTGTTTCTAAATTTACTCGCCCGTTTCCGTAGTTGGTGTTCGCGAAACACGCCGTTTCCGATGATATGCGTGATTGCTTTCCCCCCACCGATGTAATAATATTTCCTCCCTCAGGCGTGTGGTCGGTTTCACCGCGAGCGGGGCGACGATTACAACACACACAGGTTCATGGACGGACGGGCGAAACGGCAGCCATGCCAGATTTGTGGGACCGTAACGCAGAGCATTGGTTACAAGGCTTTTGTTTGTGGAGCATGCTCAATTTTTTACAGGCGGTAAGACAGGTGTTTTTCTGTATAAACAGCAGTTGTATTTGCTCAAAAGCAATGTGGTTTAGGGTATAATAGCCGTGATGTTTTTCTCTTCGATTTTTATGAAGTTGGCGGCCTATAGACACTTTTACAACTAATTTTATGACACCCTCTCTCTCTCGCCATACAAATTTCGGTAGCTTTGTTGTCGAGTGACGTTGTTATATTCGTAATTTTTACTCACAATCAGGTGAGGGATTCAGTGCTGAAATTTCGGTTTGTATCCCTTATACCACTTTAAAAATTTCCCTTTGCTTGTACAAATCATGTGTTTGGTTGTGGCATGACTCTAGTCCGCTAATTACATAGTCAAGTACTCTGTAGGGCCAAAAAAGTCGATACAATCATCCAACACCATTGCGTCTAAGATCATTTTATACGTACTTATATTACCTTCGAACGCACGTACCGAACTGTTTGTTAATTGTTATTTTCAGCAATTTTCGGAACAAAGATCGAATCTTCTGTCGAAAAAATGGAAATTGTGACCTCCAAGTTGGTGAGTTGACTCTTCTTGGAATCGAAAACAGTTTTATTTTACGCTATTGTCGTTACAGTAGAACTTACAGTAGAACTAAATGTTCATAGATGTTGTTTTCGCCGAACACTTACGGACTTTCTATTGTATGTAATGTAATATGTAATGTTTGTGTATAGTTGAATTATAATTACATTTTTTTGAATAGTGTCTTCAACGACCTTGATTAGTTATAAGTTATAGTACAAGCAAAATATCATAACTTGATTTATTTCGTATCCTTTGCAGGAAACCGCAATTCTTGCCGAGGCTGTCGGATGAAAATGTGCAGGGCTTTGGGTCTTCGGATGGTCGGTAATTCACTGGTCATTCAAAGCAACGGATACCCCAAAGACGACATAGAAGACGACAGTCAACTGGCTGTGGTGAAAGCCAACGACGACGAGCCGTCCACGTCGTTTGCCAAACTCATCGACGTGTCTCACGACTCCCCACCAATGGAGTTGAATTCAGCGGGAAACATGCAAAACATATCAATGACAAATCGGACTCCTTTGCTCAACGACTTGATGAAAATCAAAACAGAGCCTCAGCCCATCAAGACAGAGCCACCTCAACCGTTCGGCAGCGCTTTCGAGTTGCTGAACACCCATCTGCAGCCACAATCTTCGAATACATATCCGTCGCTGGGGTCGCTGGAAACGCGCCCAGTTTTTAGCAGCCTGAAGCCGGAGTGTAGTCTCAGCTACAACTCCTTTAACAGTAATTCTTCAACGTGCTCTCCGCCTTCGGTAAATTCGTCAACAGACCCGAACAGCGCCCCGAATTCGGTGAGAACGACGCTGCATCTGGGCAGCGGTCTTCAAATGTTCACGCCGACCGAAAACGAATTAATCGACGACTTTTTCGTCGACGCCGTTGTAGGACTGAAGCCGGCATTCGATCCCTCATGTACGGCGAGTGCTGTGGGAATCGATCCGAGCCGATTCCCGACGTTGGCGAAGACGGTTCAAGTCTTTCAACGGTTCGAGGACCGGCAATGCTGTCTGTCGAGCATTTGCAAAGGGTCGGAGGTGAAGATGGACAGTGAATATGTGTACATAAACATGCCGTTGTACTCGATTATGGAGAATCGAACGTTGCGACTGATTTGTAGAGTCATCACGGAGCTCATGTCGGATATTCCGAGGTTTGCGGTTCCGGAAAGGGTAAGCAATTATTAATAAATAAAAAGTATTTACGGTCACGGACCTAACCCAGTGGCAAAAACGTGCCATTTTGCATCCGGGAAGCGTCAAAAATGTGGCAAAATGCTTCCCTCTCCAAGTGAAAAAGCTTCGTTTTGAAGGGCCTTCACAAAAAAAGCGGCGGGCTTTTGAAATCGGAGTTTTTTCACTTGGAGAGGGAAGCATTTTGCCACATTTTTTGATACTTCCTGGATGCAAAATGATACGTTTTTTGCCACTGGATCAGTTCGTCCACTGTAGTTGATTTTTCAGTTGGCTAAAGCATTACAAATCATTTTTAGGCTCAAATCCTCAAAACAACATTACTCGAAGTGTCCTCGGCTTACAAATTGGCGTTAACGAATCGTTATTTTCCCGAATTTTCGGACAATCACATGGCCTTGTTCCCCGGATTCTATTGCCGGACGGACGAGTTCGTCGGATTCATGAAAAAGGATTACAATCGAACAAAACAGTAAGATTTTTTTTGAAGTCATGGTCATGCCAGAAAAGATCAAACTTTCTGCGGTTTTTAATTAAAATCTTGTCTAATTTCTTCTAATTTTCAGCGTATTGCAACCTCTCTGGGAAGTGGGAAGCAATGTGATCCGCCGTTTCCGTTATGTCATGCCCAACTTTGTCGAGATGTCCATGTTCTGCGCTTCGATATTGTGGGATAACAGTAAGTACTCACTTTTTACGATCTAGGATTTACTTGAAAATCTTCTTTTTTTTTAATTTTAGCGTTTATATAGCCGCCTGTTTTAACTGTTACCCACTTTTACCATCATTTTATTTTTCAGTCGAGCGTCTGAATTTGATGAATGAGGAAGCTGCCAAAGCCCGCGAAGCTCTGTTCCTCGAGTTCAGCCAACATCTGAACGAGATCCATGGGACAAAAGGCGCCGTCAGAGTGACCAGAGTGATGTCCCTGATGTACGACCTCAAGTCCTACTGCGCTACATACGAAGAGGCGTTTTCGTTGATGGGCGTGTTCCTGCCGCCGGATCGTGATTGTTTCTGGTGCTCGAAGCCGCAAATGTCCGACTCGCAACTCATAAATTTTGCCACAGAGGACGAGGAGACGGATAATGTCGATCATTTCACAATCAACGCTCCGAATATTTAGAAGCTCATCGCTTTACGGCGGTATTTTAATTCATCGGTTTGATGGCCTTACGTGCCACACATGGCCTCTTCTCGAGTTCTACTCTCTTGTATATACAATTTTATTCCATCCCCAAAATCTAGTCGTGGCTTTCAACGCCCATACAAACATATATCCCCCATTTTACATCACAATTTTACCCTGTCCTCATAGTGATATCAACTCTAATATTCTTTCTGGTTCTCGGAATTGTTGGCCAGCACTTACTACAGTCTCAACGGTTTCACAACCCTCTCATTTAAATGCCAGATGTACATGTAACCCGTTTAAATACAATTCACTTTTTCCCAGTTTTCTGTTTATTTCCATTTTATTACATTTTCCAACCACACATTTTACAGTTTGATTACTTTTAAAAGCGAAAACTGTACAAGGGTAAACTCAACTTTATTCGAATAAAAACAGAGACCAGTAGACGACACCTATGCTTGTGGGTACAATATTAACAATAAAATGATAAATAGGCCATCCGGAGGGACCAATCCGCCGGATGCCCGGCCATTTTCCATCCCAGCAGCTGAAGGAAGGTGGGGTCGGCGGCGAACACCTTCTCCTCCGACTTGTTGGGACGCTCGTGCAGGAAGACGGTGGATGGGCAGTTGTCAATCTGACGCTCGGCTCCCTAGAAAGGTGAATTACGCGTGATGACTTCATGAAAGCCGTATTCGGCGGGCCAAAAAGTCGCGATATGTTTGCACAGTGCGCCGTCGTCATGAAATTTGTCGCGCGGCGACAAGAAAAATTTACGGTGCAGTGCGACACCGCACAGTGCAAAAAAGATTGTTTTGAAAAGGGTAAACAACGCACAGTGCGCGGTTCGTTCGCACCCTGCCAAATTTTTATCGCGCAACACCTTGTCGCAACGCCTAATTCATGCGCCCGCACTGTGCAAAAACATGTCAAGACTTTTTGGCGCGTGCGAATGAAGAGCGCACTGTGCGTTCTTTACCCTTTTCAAAACAATCTTTTTGCACTGTGCAGGGTCGCAGCGTACCGTGAATTTCGCGCGTCGCCGTGCGACAAACTTTTTGGCACTACGGCGCACTGTGCAGATATGTCAAAATTTTTTGGCCCGTCTAGCTTTGTCGGGAAAATAATGAGCACTCTGTTGAGTAAAAAATCGCATCGCCGCTGAGAAAAATCGTGTTGCGGCAAAATTAAATTGCTTTTCACTTCAGCGACGCGACTGCAGCGACGTTGTGCTCATTATTTTCCCGACAGACTGATAATATTTCAAAACTTATTATTTGAACTCTTGTAAGATGCTACAAGCAAAAGCATCAAAAAAAATGTAGATGATCGCTTCAATACAAACACACTCACCACATTGCACTTGGCCTCACACATGACCCTCTTGTTTTCACTTCGTATCGAGATTTGTACAGAGACGCCCTTTCGGAAGATCATCGGATTCCGCGCCCTCACGAACATTACGCTTTGGTCGTAGGCGGATCGAGCCCGTCGAATCGAGGAGATCCACACGTCCGATGGATCATCCATGTCCTGAACCTCGATCTGAAAAAATTACACATTAAAATCAGCGCCGAGACAAGGTCGGTTCAGCAAAATAGGGGTTGGTTTACCTCAGCGTCGTCCAAATTGATGCTTCCTCCGCTCTTCTTCAGGACATTCACCCTGAACCACACATATTCCGTCGTCTCTGGCGGTGGTTTCACGCTATCAGCCAAGGCTTTGATGGTGTCAGCATTTGGGACCTTTCGATGGCACGCGAATACCATATATGGTGGAGCAATCTTCCATTCAGCGGGATGGACGCTCAAATCCAGGTCCAAGAACCTCCGAGAATTGAACGAGTGTGTATAGGAGATATTCGAGGCATCCTTTTCGAAGCGATTTTTAATAGTAAGCTTCGGTTGGCAGACCTGAAAAAAACTTAAGTTAAGGTAAATCAGAAGACTCTCTACCTGATGCTTGTCAATTGTCGCATTGTAGCAATAACTCTGACAATAACGACCATAATGGTCTCGAGCGTCCAACGACACGTTGTACGCGACACCCTCTCTCGGATGCGGCAGTGGGAGATACATTATCCCGGGCATCTCCGGATACTGCAGAGCTCGCTCTTGGAAGACCGTCGTCTCTGTTCCACCCGACTCATCAAGCAATGTGATATGCGCTATTGGCGACACTAATGGCTCATCGCCATCAGTCAACATCAGCGTTTTGGCCCACACAACTCCGCTGGGACGGCGCTCTCGTCGCTCAAAACCGTTGCCATCGGTTGCGGGGAGGCGACAGGTATTCTGAAGGCAAATATTGCTTAATCTTATTCAACTTTCTGACTGAAAATTTCGTTTTTTGCCCCTTACTTGTATGCAGACCGAGTTGAAACAGATTCCAGTCCCCGCAAATCCCGTGCAATTCCCTCCCAGCTGAACCTTCGACCGGCATTTCCACGAACTCTCATCACAAAAGTAGTATTTACTGTCGCAATAAGGCTGCTCTCTTGTGCAATGCCTAGTTGGTTGATATTCGTACCAGAAGTCGGTGTAGTCGTTGGAAAGACCGTCCTTGTTCTGCAAACTGAATGGCTTCATTTGCCCGGTATACGAGTGTTTGGAGTCGCAGATTTTCTAAAAATAAAATTCGTGGTAAAACATGAGGGGGCAGAAGATAAACATATTGATGAAATTTCCCTTACTTTAGCCCATTCATGCTCTCTTTGAGTGCGTGTTTGATGATTCTGTCGCATCTGCTCCCACATGTTGTCCACAAAAGAATGGTGCATGTAGAAGGCGGGGTCGTTGGGTGAGACCCTGATGACAAACATGAATCCTCCGACCCAGACATGCGACAGTCCATGCATGGATTCAAACGTTTTGTCATGGCAAAAAGTGAGATCCGAATAGTTCCTTCGACTTGTTATCCAATCAACGTCATTCGGACTCAGCAGTCGGTCTTGCGGACGTCCTCCGGTCGATCTAGAGTCAAGATCTCATAAATCAGAGAGCCAGAAATTTACCTGTACAACTTTTTGACGGGCACTGGAGACAACGGCATTAAGACATTGGTATCCCAGTCTTTGAATGGGCCCGTTTTCACATAGCCGTTCCCATTGCCAAGCAACTCCTCCGTCCATAAAATACTGTCGCTTGGATCGGGGAGACCTAAATTTGTTAACATTGAAAAGTTGATAAATCAAAAAATACCTTCGTCCAAAGTTGAGTCCCAAAATGGCAGCGAGACCCCGGGAACTTGCTCCCTCAGCGCCTGCTCGAATTGCCGGAGAAATTCGCGATGCCACGGAAGAAAGGCTGGTCCCCAGTGTGCTCCAGGAGCACTATCTGGATAGTGAACCAGCGTGTGCAGATCCCAGATAGACGTGTTGTCAATATACTTGTGTTTCAGCTGATTCATCGCTCGGAAAAGATCGGTTTTCTCCTGATCCGAGAGCATCCGAATCTCCTTTCGTATTGATTTTGTCCCTCGGTTGAATGGGACCCGACGGGCTTCTCGTCGACGGAAAGCTGCGGGCATGGCCTGAAAATTTGATAAGAACTTGAATGGGCATGCGAAGGACTTTGAAGTGGCCGCTACAACGACTTACATGAGTCTTCGAGGCCAACCTCGCTAGTTGCTGGCGCTTCTCTTGATCCAACGCTGGATCTCGTTGCAACTGACGGAAATATTTTAGCTGATTGTCTGAAAATGAATTTCAAGCAAAACTAGAAGATACGAATAGACGATGAACTTGTCGTTGAATCTCTTACCAGTCAATTTCCCGTTTATGTCACCATTGGAGTCGCCCCGTTCCTTCAGCCACATACTCCGATGTCTACATGCCCGATCCAAATACTGAGCCTCAAGGAAGTCGGAATGCGGTAATTCTTGGCAGTCAGGCACATTAGAAAGCACAGAGTAAAAGAAAAGCGTTGAGATCGATGTTTGAAAGAGGAGGTAGGGGTTGGGGACAAGGAGAAGATTTTTAAATCTCATTCTCGCCGTCGGCGTTTATTCATTGGAAGGCGTTGGCAGTGCGGGCCTCTAGAATGACATAAATTAGGTCAGAAGTCAATGTTTAACAGCGTTACAAGGTTATTACCATTAAAAGATTACGCTTAATCGCTTGTAAACTAAATGTTTTTAGGTTAATTGAAAGATTGGCGTAAAAATGGAGATATTTAAGCCATTCGGTCGAGTAATAAGTCATCTCCAAGTAATCAAATACCACGGGTTCATCAAGTTCAGGTATCGATAATAAACGGAAGAAAGGTACATTAAAACAGGAGGAAACGGAAGTTGTAAACGGTTAAACAGCAATGTAAATAGGAGTAACCACCAAACTCGAAAGCAAATGTAATCAGTCAAACACTTCAATTTGTTGTAATCAAAACACAAATGAGAGAAAATCAACAATTCTCAAGTCAGGTCCAATCACAAAACATTCAACAATCGAACGCGTTCACCAACAAACGTGAATGTGAGGCTATTGTCTCGGCGTTCGAAATTCATGAAAAACGGCGGCGAATTCAACGAAATTTCCCGTTGAAGAGACAGCCATTACGAAAGATGACAAACTGTTTCTGGAGAAGCCCACTCATTCCTCCAAATTTCGCCAGGCGACGCCGAATTCGTCGACGGATCATCACGACATTTTCCCTGCCTCCATCCCTCAGGGTCTTCGAAAAAAAAAGAATTATGACGCCGTCGCGCAATCCGTCGACGGACGCGTCCCATGCTCGCTGAAAATGGAGCACAACGGGCGGCGAGTCCAACGTGACTTTTCGGTCCGTTTTCGGGGTCTTTCTGGAGAATTTGAAAATCGCTGACTTCAACTCGTCAAGACTTGAAAACTGGTCTGAAGCATATGTTCGAAACCCTTCCTTTTTGGGGCGAAATTTAGACCCCCTTACTTTCAAATTACTCTCTTACTCGCCTCGAACACTGCACCCCCCGAGCAAATGCTTTCTTTTTTTCGCTTCGATGCCGACTCATCGATGGAATTGGTCGACGAAAAAAGCCGCCGAAAATCTGGGGGAAAGCTCGGCGGGGAGAAAGCGAAGATTCACGACGTCTGGGGATCGTACACGTAATCGGCGGAGCGCAGGAAATGAGGATCGGAAGCGCGGAGTGGGGGAAAACAACGGATTTTGAGTATAAATAAGGGCTTAGATGACGTTGGCTAGTGTAAATGAAGTCTCAGACTGATCATCACCATTTTATGACATAATTATTTTATACGTTAGCTATTTCATTTAGCATGTAATCTTTCATAAAACACAAAAAAAGCAAAAATATTATGATATGGAAACTTGTGTTCATGAGTAATATAAACGGATGCCACGACCACAAGATAGACACCAGCTCCTCGAAGTTGCGTGAGAATTGCCACACCTCACTTCGACCTTCATTCTTCATCGTAACGCGAGCATCACCCGCATACATTACTTATTTTTTATTTATTTATTTTCGAGTCATCACTTCTTCAGACCCCCGCCCTTACCTCTTTTTCGGATGCAGGGCAAAAAACACATCGAGAACCCCACTTTTTTCCGGGGAAAAGTTGCGACCTTGACTAGCTACTGGCGCGCCTGGCAATCAAAACGGGTCATTGAGTTCAGCAGTATGGACAATTTTCTATTTTTTTGTAGGTTTAGCTAACCAAAAACGCGCTGTGTCTGTGGTTTGAAGGAATTTCGTGGCGTAATGAACTGTGTACAACATGGAATGTATCATGAAGTTTACAAAAAATGTTTAATCGAGTAACTTGCTGATGAGTCGACTGCCGAAAGGGCAAAAAAAGTGAATCAGAAAAGAAAAAAATGTGAATTTTTTAAAAAAATTTAAAAAAAAATTGCAAAAATTTGAATAAAAATCAAAAAAAAAATTTTAAATTTTTCATTTTTGAATTTTCATTTTCTCACGTAAAATGTGAATTTTTATTTTCGCACGTAAAAATTATTCAAATTTCGATAAATTTTCCCATGAAAATGCGTGTCATAGTGCAAATTCGGGGGGTATAAAAGGCCGGGATTTCGGGGGGTTCGGCATCAGTCGGTTCGTCCTCTGTTCCCGAGAAAAAGATGGCTCAATCTGTTCCCCCAGGAGATATCACCACCCAGCCCAACGCCAAGGTCGTCTTCAACGCCCCCTACGACGACAAGCACACCTACCACATCAAGGTATGTTTGGGCGATAGATGGATGGGGCTTTGGGACCCCTTAGGACGGCTAGACTAGTCGAGAAGTTTCTACTTCACCACTCCAAATTCTCCTTTTTGCATTGACCACTTACCCTCCCTTCTTGCAGGTCATCAATGCCGGTGGTCGTCGTATCGGATGGGCCTTCAAGACCACCAACATGAAGCGCCTCGGTGTTGACCCTCCATGCGGTGTCCTCGACCCCAAGGAGTCCGTCTTGGTTGCCGTCTCCTGCGACGCCTTCAACTACGGCCAGGAAGACACCAACAACGACCGTATCACCATCGAATGGACCAACACCCCCGATGGAGCCGCCAAGCAGTTCCGCCGCGAATGGTTCCAGGGAGACGGTATGGTCCGCAGAAAGAACTTGCCGATCGAATACAATCCTTAAATGTGCTTGTTTTTGCGTAAATGCAGTGTATAAAATTGTCGTTTCTATTTCGAATTTGGCTTGGATTTGTTGATTGGGGTCTTTTGGTTGATATGGTCAAGTGGTTTGGTCTTGGAAACTCTTTGTTGCCTAGTTGTCTAGAGCGAGATTAATTTTGCTTCTCTTTTAGTCACCCTAGGCCGAGAGAATCAGTTTTTAGACATGTTCTTTCGAACGACATTAGCATTTTTTCGATATATCTTAAAAGACCTCAGATACTTCACTTTTCCATGGGGTAGTTTGCAATCAGACATTTGGGACCTCTTTTGTATTATAACACATTCTTTTATCATCCAAACATCCAAAAATCTTGACCTTTTTTCTACTTTTGATTTTTGACGAAACGCACATTGAGTCTTGGTCATAAAATCTTCAACTACGCTAGATTGACGTGGCCTGCGCCATAATTAAAGACGCAAAATTCGAAGGCATAGAGAGATATTAAGCATTTTAAGAATATGTGTTCAAGTTTTGTGCGGGGAACTGACCAATATTTGGCGATAAAATCGGCGGAAGTTGATGATAAAATAGGTCTGTTTGTGTGGAAGAAATTGCGAAATCTACAGAGGATTCTCTGGACAGTTGAATTGTCCTGAGAGAAATTAAAAGTCAATTTTAATAGAAAATTCAGACAATTAAGGTAGATCAAACCTTCTTTGAGCCATCAAAATATATTTATGTCTACCAAAAAATATTATCCACCTTTTCACTCGATCTTCCTCGTTGCTACGGCCGATTTTCCCGCCAAATTCGTAGCCATGGAAACCGGGATTTTGTTTCCAAAAACAACGGCCAAGCGGTCATTCCGACCACACAGCGACCTCATAACGCGTTCATTTCTCGATTTTGAATCGGATTTCCTTCTTCACCGGTGGATTTGTAGACAACCCACGTTAATTTTCACCTCCGGCAACTCGAAAACCCCAGTACATGTCCGCGACTCTCTCCCCACAACAAGCCGAGAATTTTGTTCGTTTGATCCACCTCCTCTTCGGTGCCATTGCTTGGATTTGTGCCATCACCGCCGGCCTAACCATCTCGCAGCGCTATTTGGATCGACAAATTGCGGCGGAGCAGTGAAAGGTCAAAGAAGTTCGGTAGAACTAAGGCATCAGGATGAAGAGAGTTCATAGCAAAGTAAGTCCGACTCGGTATTGACTTACAGGGGAAATGCGATAGATTTTGAGAAACGTGGGACAAATTACGGCTACTTTTCGTGTGAGAGATATTGGGGTACCTTACTTGCGCTTTGCAGAAACACCCAATATGTCAAAAAATCAATATACGTAAAATTTGCGTCTGCCAGGGAGTCACTGTAAAAATCGCAAGGACGGAATGTCACGTAGAGTGCAACAAAATGTCATCAAATTTATAGGGGAATGAAGAAAAAATAAAAATTGCTTATAACTGACAGGGGAAGTAACCCAAATGCGACGTTAAGATTTTGATGAAACTTGGCATAAATTTAGACTATTTTTTCAAAATTATATGCTAGAATCCTAGCTCGCGCTTTGCGGAAACAACCCAGATTTATAGTTTGAAAGACTGCGAAAATATGACAATTTTTGCCGAATTTTGGCACGAAAAGTTTCATGCCTATTTCGGTCATAGAGGGTAATGTTTCCACAAAAAACCAATTTTTTCCGCACGAAACTAGCAAAGTTATGGCCAAAAAGTGTTTTCTCTGTGACCGATCTCCCCATTTAGCGTGCTCTCTCGGCGGCAAAGATCGTTGAATATTTCTGTGGCGCTTGCAAAGCGAGGACTAAAACTTTCAGGAATTGATATTGAGCTCATCACATGTCATGACCGACATGTGTGCAAAATTTAAAGAAAATCTGAGCGTTGCAGTTGGGGTACTTTCGTTGTGAGTTGGATCACGGTCTTATTTATTTTTTAACCGGGTTTGTTTTGTATTAAATCTATTTTCTTACATACCTATGAAATACATACTCATCTTCAAGGAAAACAAAAGTTTAATCTATCCTCCCGTTTTCAGTGCCTATCGCAAGACTACTATTGCCACGCGTATACTGCCGCCTGGTTGTGGGACTGGTTTCGATGGACATCCGTTTTGGCCATCACTTTAATCATTGTTTTCAAATCCGGCGGGATGTGGAAGAAGACGAACAGTTACACTGAGCAACCCGCCGTCGAATTCCAGTCCAATTGCTACGTAATATTTACGCAGGACAATGGAGATATCTTTGATTACTATTTTTGGAGTCCGTTTTCGGAATTGAACGAAGTTCAAAGGGATCGGCTGATCACTCCGATTGTGTCGGTCAATGAGAACGATGTGGATGGGGATGGAAGCGTGGATAATGTAAGAGCTCATTGTTAGTCTGAATGTTTTGCAGAGTGGGCAAATAAAAGTGGCAATTTTAAGTTAGTTATAATTCACCAGTTTGTGGACCGTTTGTTGTAAATGATATGTCAAACTGATCAGCAAGGTCCCGCTTTTGCCTAGAGTTAGATCTAACTCTAGCATAGCTTCTAAAATTAGCCATGCCCTTAACCCTTTTCAAAAACCTGAATCTTCCAAGAGCCATGGGCCGGTCGGCATTCAAAAAAACCATTGTCTTTGCTTGAAAATTCGGAATTTAGTATCACACCTTAGCCCTCAAATCTACGAAATCTTGAAGGCAAAAAATGGCAACCTTGCGGATCAGTATGAGATTGCATTTACAAAAAATGGTCTATTGGTGGTCCGGTTATATCCAAAACAAAGTTGTTACAGTGGGGGACCTGATCCAGTGGCAAAAAAAGTACCATTTGCATCCGCCAAGTATAAAAAATGTGGCAAAATGCTTCCCTCTTCAAGTGAAAAAAATTCGTTTTGAAGGGCCCGCCCTTTCTCAATTTTGAAATCTGAGGTTGTTTCAGTTGGAGAAGGAGGTATTTTGGCCACATTTTTTTATGCTTCCAGGATGCAAAATGATACGTTTTTGGCCACTGGATCAGGCTCCCCACTGTAGTTATTGTTGTCCCAGTCTATCCTTTCCAAAAATTTTTTTATCAGTTGTAAAATTGACGGATTTTTCAGATTGTATTGGAAATTCGCTTCAGTCATCCAAATAGCACATTCGAAGTTCGATCGCTTTCCTGGATGCTGTTCTACAAGATGTCGTTGAACAAAAGGGCTATCATTCAAGTGAGTGATTATTGATCAGCCTTCTTTTTGCATCAATTTGACTGTTAATGGCGAATAAGAAGCTCTAAAAACGCGCTTTGAATTTTGCCTTTCACTGTTCTCACCTTTTTCTCTGCACGTCTCTTCGTTTTACGAGATCTCTCGTCTGAAAAAAAATCGTTGAATATTTTATCGCCATACTACAGTGGCGGACCTGATCCAGTGGCAAAAAACGTACCATTTTGCATACGGAAAGTATCAAAAAAATGTGGCAAAATGCCTCCCTCTCCAGCTAAAAACCTCCCTTTTGAAGGGGCGCTTCCATCACAAAAAAACGAACGCGCTTTTGAAATCGAAGTTTTTTAACCTGGAGAAGGAGGCATTTTGCTATATTTTTTGATACTTTCGGGATGCAAGATAGTACTTCTTTTGCGACTGCATAAAGATCCGCCACTGTATGTTTGAAATTTCAGGCTGATGGCGTCCTTTTCCACGAGCTCCGCCGACCATTCGCATTGGCCTCCTACTCGCTGCAAAGCGATCTCATCTTCGATCAACGCAAGCCTCTGCCGTCTTATGGGAACTATCGTTTCAAACAAGACATCTTCTCCAAGTTCAGCGACAACCCCGACCAAAACGAGACCGATGTGGAGTTTAATTACGGCAGTGTTAGCTATCAACCGTTCGAGATCCAACGGCAAAGCATTCTGTAAGTTTCCCTTGAACTGAAAAATAAAAAAAAATGAATTTCCTGATCCAAGGGTTCACTTCAAATCATTTTCAGAGCCAACTACAGTATTAAAATGGGGAGAAAGGTTGATTTTTGGGAAGCAAAGGGCTCTGAAATTCCGGAGGAATTAAAGCTGACATTCGAATTCAATGTTCTTCCGTCCAATTTGGTCTACGAAACGGACGCGGCGGAGTTGTTGAAATGGCTTTGGATCCAAGTGTTGGCCGTGTTTTTGGTGATTAACTACGTTTTCCATCGACTGACCGGGATTTTCATCGAGAATGGGACTTTTGGGACAATTCCAAGGTCCGAAAAGATGATAAAACTGGATTAAGTCCTACAAAACTCATCTCAAAACTTCTCAAGGGTCTTTTTTCCGCATTTTTTTTCTTTTTTACTTCAATAATAAACCTCAGCCTCACATAAATACCAAATCTTTATCAAATTAATTCTCAAAAAATATCAAGTTACCGTTCGTATACGCCGTAAATCTATTTGACACGTTAAACAGTCAATATGTTGTGTTTAGACCCATTGGGAAATGTAGAAGAGACTAGAACCTATCAAAAAAATAGTGTGCCTTTAGTGAATCGATATATACAAGTAAAGGAGATCGCAAAAAAATAAGTTAAGAGTCTGAGGACTCGGAATTTTCATTTTGGAAGACAAGGTCCATTTCGACGTCAGCGTCGCTCTCCTCTTCCATCAGCATGTCGTATGGGCCGTTCTTTTTTGGTTTTGGAGTGTAATGGGCGCCAGTGGAGACTCGACGTTGGCCTGAAATCGAATTATTTTATTATTCATCATGACCATTCGACTCAAAATTGCTAATATGCGATGTACAAAAAAAATTTCCAAATTTTGGCTACGTTTTCCATTTAGATCAACTATCAATTCCTAAAAATTTCAGCTCCCAAATTGCAACCAGCTCCAAGGTATTAAACGATTTTTTCCACACGAAATATCTCGTAAAATGAAGAGAGTGGTCAGAGAAAACCTCATCCGCCCACTTTTAGAATTTTATATGCAAACACCAACTCAGACCCCTCCTCCTTACCATTCAAATCCCCTGTCAATTGATGGATTCTCCTCTCTTTTCCAATTCGCCCGACAATATCCGACAAGAACAAGAAGATCAGCACACTAATGCCCATGGAGAGCACAATCGTCGATCCAATTGCAAAGTGATCTCCTTTTATGGCCAGAATCGGTGCCAATATTTTGGCTATGGAAAGTCCCAAAAAGTATCTCGTCGTCGCAGCGTACGGGGAGTTCTTTAGTTGTGTGTGGGACCAAAGACTTGTGACCAAGGGCAAGGGAAGAACAAAAATGGCCTAAAAATCAAAAACAAAACAAAAATCACTTACAATTGCCATAAGTCCAGCGAATACGGTGGCTTCACTCGGGGTGTACAACAAAAATATCAATAGAACAGTGGGGAATCCAACCAGATAAGCGATTTTTATTGTTCTACTCGAGACGGCAAGACTGGACCTAAAAATTTATTTCAAACGTCATCTGAAGTTCTAAAAATTCAAAAAAAAAATCAAAAGCTCACCTCCACACTAAGAAAATTCTAACAAAGAATGCCATGAACCAAAATCCGGAGCAAAACAGAAGACAGGACTGGGAATCCAATTCTTTCACATAATTATGGACAAACGTTGGTAATCCCGCCAATAAAAGTGCTTCTGGGACGGATTGGAAGGTCGTTAACAAAAATGAAAGTCCCTTTATTGTCCATGAGTCTTCTGGATACGAATGGGCATCAAGATCAAGCTAAAATTCAAAATAAAAAAAATCTTTCAAGCTCTTACCTGAGCGATTCTCACATCAGCAATCAGCTGAAACCGCAGGCAGCAAGCGCAAAATCCAATGACAAATCCAAGAATCGGGATGAACGACAACGCCATGATGATCAAGTACGGAGTTGAGGCGGTTGTCTTCATCTCCGACACCTTTGCAATGTTCTCCTTGACCTTTTCCTTCACTCCGCTTAGAATTGAGGGCTTTTCGGTTGAAATTCGGTTCCGAGAGCGGCTGAAATTCAACATGGGGTCTTTTTTGAAGACGGTCGTTGATGGAACTTCCGTTGTCGTAGTTGTTGTAGTTGACGTAGCAAGTGTTGTCGTGATCTCTACATCTTTTTTAGTGGTCAAATTGGCTGTCGAATTTGCTATTTTTCGATTCTCCTTTTCTTCATTATCTTTTCTGCGGGCTTGATTTTCTCGCGTTTTTGGATTCTCATCCGTGTCAATTCCAACAGCAGAATGCGGTCTAAAACTTGGGGCATTAATATCGAACTTCATCCAATCTAAACCTTAAAACGCGTTTTGCCACACTTTGGAGCTTAGCGTAACAGAGGGCGGACATTGTTAAAATCGATGTCTCAGACTTGAACGAAAATTGGTCAACTTAATCACTGATAGCCACAAAACATTCGCTTTCTTTGTTTTTTCCCAAAATTACCGTATGACGGCATACTGTAACATTTTTTTTAAAAAAAAATATGCCCTAAACGAGAAAACAAAGCGCTATTTTAGCACAAATCGAGTTTAGGTGTATGTTTTCGACCATGCAGAATATTTTTGTAATTGTCACCGAAAACTAAAAATTACATCTAAGCTATGTTACACATGAGGCAACATACCATTTCGGGCATAAAAAATGCAGTTTGGACGAGGCGCAGATTTTGAAACCGGAATAATAAACTTCAAGCCTTGTCTAATAAACCGTAAAAATTTCAGAAAAATCAAATATATAGTTTTTGAGATATTGGATATTAAATGTCTCATGTGCAAGATCACCTTGACCTCGAAAAAATTTGGCATTCTTGGGTTTTTGGCAAGGCGCAGATTTTGAAGACCTCCAATACATTCTTATCGCATTTTAGGAGGATACAGGAAGTTTCAGAGGAAAAAAATGAATAGTTTTTGAGAAATCGACCAAAACACCTTGTTTTAGGTCATCAGATGCCCGAAAAAATCTGGCATTCTTAGGTTTTTGGCTAGGCGCAGATTTTGAAAGCTTATAATACATTTTTATGACATTTTAGGAGGATATTGAAGGTTTCAGAGGAAAAAAATGAATAGTTTTTGAGAAATCGACCAAAATACCTTGTTTTAGGTCATCAGATGCCCGAAAAAATCTGGCATTCTTAGGTTTTTGGCTAGGCGCAGATTTTGAAAGTTTCCAATACATTTTTATGACATTTTAGGAGGATATAGAAAGTTTCAGAGGAAAAAAATGAATAGTTTTTGAGAAATCGGCCAAAATACCTTGTTTTAGGTCATCAGATGCCCGAAAAAATCTGGCATTCTTGGGTTTTTGGCAAGGCGCAGATTTTGAAGACCTCCAATACATTCTTATCGCATTTTAGGAGGATACAGGAAGTTTCAGAGGAAAAAAATGAATAGTTTTTGAGATATCGACCAAAATACCTTGTTTTAGGTCATCAGAACACAGAATCGTACCTTTCGGCGTACATTTGACAAAAGTTTTGCAGAGAGCTCGAATTTATTTGTGACAATTTGGAGAAAAAAACAGTAACACACATATATCTCGGAAAAAAAGAGATGCCGAAGAAAATTGGTCGAATTTTCCAGCAACTTGACCTATAACAGGTTCACCATGGTCGATATCTCAAAAACTATTCACTTTTTTCCACTGAAACTTTCTATTTCCTCCTAACATGTCATGAAAATGTATTGGAAACTTTCAAAATCTGCGCCTAGCCAAAACCCTAAGAATGCCAGATTTTTTCGGGCATCTGATGACCTAAAACAAGGTATTTTGGCCGATTTCTCAAAAACTATTCATTTTTTTCCTCTGAAACTTTCTATATCCTCCTAAAATGTCATAAAAATGTATTGGAAACTTTCAAAATCTGCGCCTAGCCAAAAACCCAAGAATGCCAGATTTTTTCGGGCATCTGATGACCTAAAACAAGGTATTTTGGCCGATTTCTCAAAAACTATTCATTTTTTTCCTCTGAAACTTTCTATATCCTCCTAAAATGTCATAAAAATGTATTGGAAACTTTCAAAATCTGCGCCTAGCCAAAAACCTAAGAATGCCAGATTTTTTCGGGCATCTGATGACCTAAAACAAGGTATTTTGGCCGATTTCTCAAAAACTATTCATTTTTTTCCTCTGAAACTTTCTATATCCTCCTAAAATGTCATAAAAATGTATTGGAAACTTTCAAAATCTGCGCCTAGCCAAAAACCCAAGAATGCCAGATTTTTTCGGGCATCTGATGACCTAAAACAAGGTATTTTGGCCGATTTCTCAAAAACTATTCATTTTTTTCCTCTGAAACTTTCTATTTCCTCCTAACATGTCATAAAAATGTATTGGAAACTTTCAAAATCTGCGCCTAGCCAAAACCCTAAGAATGCCAGATTTTTTCGGGCATCTGATGACCTAAAACAAGGTATTTTGGCCGATTTCTCAAAAACTATTCATTTTTTTCCTCTGAAACTTTCTATATCCTCCTAAAATGTCATAAAAATGTATTGGAAACTTTCAAAATCTGTGCCTAGCCAAAAACCTAAGAATGCCAGATTTTTTCGGGCATCTGATGACCTAAAACAAGGTATTTTGGCCGATTTCTCAAAAACTATTCATTTTTTTCCTCTGAAACTTTCTATATCCTCCTAAAATGTCATAAAAATGTATTGGAAACTTTCAAAATCTGCGCCTAGCCAAAAACCTAAGAATGCCAGATTTTTTCGGGCATCTGATGACCTAAAACAAGGTATTTTGGTCGATATCTCAAAAACTATTCATTTTTTTCCTCTGAAACTTCCTGTATCCTCCTAAAATGCGATAAGAATGTATTGGAGGTCTTCAAAATCTGCGCCTTGCCAAAAACCCAAGAATGCCAAATTTTTTCGGGGTCGAGGTGATCTTGCACATGAGACATTTAATATCCAATATCTCAAAAACTATATATTTGATCTTTCTGAAATTTTTACAGTTTATTAGACATGGCTTGAAGTTTATTATTCCGGTTTCAAAATCTGCGCCTCGTCCAAACTCCATTTTTTATGCCCGAAATGGTATGTTGCCTCATGTGTAACATAGCTTAGATGTAATTTTTAGTTTTCGGTGACAATTACAAATATATTCAGCATGGTCGAAAACATACACTTAAACTCGATTTGCGCTAAAATAGCGCTTTGTTTTCTCGTTCAGGGCATATCTTTTTTAAAAAAAAATGTTACAGTATGCCGTCATATGGTAATTTTGGGCAAAAATAAAGAAAGCGAATGTTTTGTGGCTATCAGTGATTAAGTTGACCAATTTTCGTTCAATTCTGAGACATCGATTTTAACAATGTCCGGGCCAAACTACGATTTGTAATAAAACGCGTTTTAAAAAAATCAAATAAAATTTTTTTCTCACCTAGTCGCAACTTCAAGATAAGGTGTTGTGCTATTCTCCACTTCCAAAACTGGCAACAACTGTCTTTTGACGCGAATATTAGTCCCATCTCCATCTGAGACACTCCATAAAACTCCTTGTTGTCCAAACGTGGCAGCCAACCCGGCACCAAAAGCATATGCGGCAATCAGTGAAAAGAAGATTTTATTCTCTCCTTTGAAGATGCCGTGTATCGTCAAAAACGAGCCTTTTTCGATCGTTCCGAATACAATTTGTTGAAAAACGAAGACAAACATTAGCTTCGAAAGGGCCGTCTGATATATCAAGGATAATGTGAGTGGGACTGATATGACCAGAAGCAGGAAAAAGGTGATGAAGGCGTTGAGTCGAGTGAAAATCCAGGACACTAAAGAACGAAAAATAATAATCTTATAAACAACTTACACAGCGAAGACCCAATAAGAAATCCGAACCCTCCATAAGTTAATATCGAAGAATAATCAGAAAGTGTATTGGAATGGACATTCTGCATTAGTGCTGGCTTTGTGAAGCTAACAATTGATGTGGACATACCCTGAAAGAAGTCGAAATCAGAGGAATCATCAAATTATGATATTATTTATCTATTGATGGCTAATCTATCTAAAACAATATATAAAACCATATCCCCACAAATAAATTCACAATAAGACGATTAGTATTCCTTCTAAAGTCATTCTAAGTTAGGATCAATGAAATTTTGTCTCAAAACATCAAACAAAAAACTTACCATAACAAAGAATGTAAGGAACAAACACAATATTTTGCATTTCTTCGACTCCGGAATGGAATTCAAATCCGTAGAGGAACGAGAAGAGGATCTTCGCCGCCGTCGACGCTTCCGCGCATTGAGCAAAGCATTCTGGAAACAAACGAGTAAACCCATTCGTCCGAGCAACTAAAACAAAGAAAACAAAAAGTTAAAACCTTACCCTGTCAAACACAATCTCATCGTCCGAATCGTCACTAAGTGATGAAGCTCGTTGTCTACGTTGCGATGACCTTGATCGACGCACTTCCAACTTTGTCGATCGCATTTTATGAGGACTTTCTTCTTGTGAATTCAAAACTAAAATTTTTAATTCTTTTAAGGTTTAAAAACCGATTAAAACTGCGGCAGACAAAGCGGATTTTAATCTACGGGCGTGCAGTTTAGGCACTAGACGAACTTTTGAGATCAAAAATGAAGAAGGCCAAGCAATATTCAATTCAGAAAAACATTCCCTCGTCACCCATTCATCAACCCCCATCAACAACAACTCCCTCCAAAATTAGCCGCAGGCCCTCCAAGAATAACCGCCCCGCACTCGAAATGCTCCAAGTGGGCATGACGTTGTCCTAAAAACGGAAGCAAACAGCAAAAAAAGACTTACTTCCAAGCTTGGACAATATCTCAGTCCCTTCATTTGTGCCCATCGACGGTGGAACGAAAGCCCTCGGGAAGCGACTGACGGAAACAGCACCTTGATATAATCTGTAGTCGCGTTTGGAACCCGAAACTTTTTTTTGTTCCGCAAAAAAATATTATTTTTGCTGTGAACATTATTCTTATCGCTGCGTCTCGAAACGAAATTCAGGCAAATGCGGAAAACACCATTTTGTTCGGGAAAAGGTTCATTTTTCTCGACTGATTGCTCGATGAACGGATTTTGAAGAGGATTTGATGAAGAACACGTTATAATTTTGAGAATACGGCAAATAATGTGTGGTGAAACTGATGAATTTTTATTTTTTAATTGAAACATTAGTTTTTTGATGTTTCCGGCTAACGAAATAGTTATTTCTGCGCCTAATAACTTCAAAACTTCTGTAGGACAAACGATAAACAAATAGATGCCCGATTTTGGGTCTTTTCTTATGTTGTACATGGAATTCTGAGTGGTATAATTTGCAATAACTTTCGTCGGTGTGTAGAATTTTAGTTCCTGGTGGTTTAGCGGACTTCAGTGAGATCTATTGAAAGCACTATTGTTTGTTACATCAACTCGAATCTACATTCTGTTGATAGGTCTAGACTTGGTTCTCTAAGCCGTTTGTTTTTAGTTTCTGTTTTGTCTTTTAGGGGTTTGTGGATGTCGGTGATGTTGTGCAAATGCTCGGCAAGGATGCGATGCTGTTCTTGGTTTGTCGTCCTCTGGTTTGTCGTAAATCTTCTCATCTTGATGGCCTCTAAATTTTGATGTCGTCATGGAAGTTTTTAATTATTTCCAAGACCTTATAGTTTCTAATTTTGTTTCAACGAGTGGTGAATGTCTCTGGGGCCTGTTTGGTTCTTGTTTTTACATTCCTCATGATTACTAGGCTCTCCAGGGTTTACAGCAGGTTCTACTTTTTCGAATTCCTCGCAATTCGTATGCTTTCTCGGGCCTTCTCTTCCATGACGCGCTATTTCGTCGTCGGAGAGCAGAAAAAGCCGCTCCACTCCGGCCTCCTCCCATCCCGCATCCATCCCCCTTTCTCTTCGTGGCTTCCCTTCCACACCAGCAGCAGCACAGAGCCTGCTCTTGCCCCCCATTCAACCCTCCTAAAACGCCCGTCGGACGGCTGACAGACCGGCTGTATATATCGATTGGTTGCAATTCTTCCTCAGTTTTTCGATATATTATAATCCAAGACACAGGTTTCACAGGCGAAGACGACGCTTTTTCATTCGAATTAAAAGCTAGCTTTTGCTTGCAAAATGGCCTTAGAATACCCGAAATATGGCCCCATAAAAGCCGAGAGAATACACAATTGGATATCGACCATGGTGAAAGTCGATCGGCGGTTGGTGTACCAGCTGGCTGTGGCTGGGCCATCCACCTTTTTTACTTATTGTATACATGGCAGGCTGATACATTGATTGACCGACGGCTGAGGTCGAAAATTACGAATATCAGGTGAAAAATGGTGTGTTTGAAACGTGGGTTCGACAGGGACTTTCGTACAAGTCCCGTAATCGAATTTTTAGGTCTTTCAAGGTGTTTTCAGCGTTTTCATTGCTTCAGCGGGCAGAAGTATCACTCCCAAGACAAAATTTATTCAGTGCCTGAGTAACTTTTGTTATTCCGACTTCCTTGCGATTCTCTTGACTTTGCCTTTAGCATCTCAGGTCTCTGTTAGTTTCCGTACTTCCAATTGCATTATTAGTTGTTCTCCGCATATGGTAAGCACCACGTGACATTGATTTTATATTGTCGCTGTTTTGATGTTATTCCCCTCCGAAAATTTCTTTCGTAATCTTCTTCCCCTTCCCCAATATTTTTGGGTCTCGGGTCGGAGCCGGGAAAGAGCGGAGCGATGAATAATCGGGAGGGGGTGCGTACATGGCTTTCAACAGCGAGTGGGAAGTCCGAAAACAGCTACTTTCTGCTATAGGGCTTCCCCAGCACTGTTGGGAGCGCGTGCGGATTTGAGAGAGAACTAATGAGAACCGAAACAGCATTAATGTCCTATACTTGGGAACTTTGAGAAGTACTGTTTGCAGAATTTTTACCTAACGATCTTTAGTAGTCTAAGATTGTTAGGTAATGTAGAAGTCTGATATAGATTCCGTGACTCTGCTATTGTCGTCTTCTCTAGCCTTTCGCCAGTCAAATGTCATCGCAAATTCCATCTCCTCCCATATCGGTCATGGAATTTCGGTTTAGTCTCTATACCCTTCTCAAAAAAAGCCCGCTCTAGCAGTGGACGCTGAAACGCCGCGGAAAGCATTGGAAACACAACCAAAAAGAGAGAGTCAAGAAAAATACGACGAAAACAATTATTATCGCGTGTGTTTTTATCCGATTTTCTTGGAAAGCGCATCATCAGAACAAGAATTTCACTTGTATTTTATGTATTTCGCGTTTGTTTATTTTTTCTCCGATTGGAGTCAAGATTGTGAAATATTCAGGAAATTATAAAACAGGGGCCAATGCGCTATCCGAAAGTTTGATGAAAATCATAGGGCGCAGCTCGGAGAATTTGCACGGGCGCAGCTCGCGTCTTGGGCGCAGCTCGAAAACAAGCCGAAACTTAGCTCCGGTGAGCTGCGAAACGTTGTTTTCCGAGCTGCGCCCTACCATTTTCAGCTAACTTTCAGCAAACTTTCAGATAGCGCATTGGCCCCAGATATTTTTATTAACAGAATTATAAATCAGAAATTTTACCGGCATTTTCACCAAAAATCAAAGGTTTTTCTGTCGTAGAACAGAAATTTTGAAAATTTCTGTGGAAATAGGTCCTTAAAACATTAATAGAGCGTTTATTACTCATGACGGACCATACAATTTGATCGTTCATCAATTTTCAAGTCGAAAATAGTCGTAGCCAAAAGTTATTGCAAAAAATTTCATCAATTTTGCCCAATTTTCACCCTAAAGCAATATAGATTGCCCTAAAACCCAATTTTTCACAAATTTCTTTCATTTTCCCCTTTTTATAAGACCAATCGCGTTTCCCCTGACACAATCCCATCCAAAACTCCCCATCCAGCATCCAAAATCATCCGTTTTTTCATTCGCCAACCTGACGCCTCAGGGCGATCTCCCCGTAATCACACATTTTTACGCATAAAAATTCAGTGTAACACATCAAGCACACAACACCAACGAAAAGGCGAATGCCCGTTTGAAATGGTCGACGTGTTGTTGAATCCGAACGAGGCATTTCCCGAAGAGAGCAGCAAAATGTCCAACGATTGGGTGGCGGAGAGCGCGACCGAAAACACCGAAGAAGAGGAGACCGTGGAGGATGTGGAAGAAGGGGAATTGCCAGAAGAGGGCGAAATCACCGACGATGAGGATGCCACGGGTCCAGTACCGTTGAATAAGATCGACGCGAAACTGCCGGACAAGGAGAACACTCGACGCACAAAGAGAAGTTAGTTTTTTCGAAATTTTTGGACGAAACTGGTGGAAAATTTGGAGTTTTTGATCGTTCCTCGAAAAATTGTAACGAGAATTAGTAATTCACGGATTTTCGAGGGGTTCAGAGGCTCTCAGAAATTGCATTGACACTTGTGCCATTGAATTTCACACTTTTTGAGGGAATCTTATATTTTTAGATCTATTTTCTGAACTCTTCCACTTTTTAATACCTAAAATAATAATTTCCCCCCGTTTTACAAGATTAATGACCTTTTCTTTCAGACTCCCATTCCTCAACTTCCTCATCCCGACATTCGAAACCGACAAAATACAAGGATCACGACCCGAAAGCAACGGTATATAACTTTACATAATAATATTGAAACATTTGACAAAAGCATAGCGATAAGCATCAAACAGACACAAAAAAGAGGGAAACCGCAGCAGGAATGGTTGCTAAAGATTTGACGAAGCAGACAGCCTTGAAAGGTTGCGGGATTAGACAAATTTATATTACACTGCAGGAAGAGCTGAGAAAACTTTATTTACAGGTCGAAAATTTGACGTAAAGGCAGAACAGATAAAAAATAATGAGTGAAGGTCTGAAGGAGTTCGATTAGCATAAAATTTACGTATTATATTAGGTGAAAATTAGAGATCGCAGCTTTTTGCCATGTACAATATAAAATTCGGAGAAAAATGTCTAAAATACCACATAAGACGAGAATATGCATTATTGCACTTGCAGAAATCCGCCAGAGATGGTGAAATGGTTGAAAGCTGGGCCAATGGAGCACACCGCGCAGCGCATCGAGAAGAGCTGGACGATCGAAGAGCTCGTCCGGAAAGACGTGATGTTAATGGAGACGTTGATCTAAGAGATACGGAGGCTGATAGAAGGTAGGAGAAAGCTATTTGGCACGCGATTGCTTAGTTTTGCATTAATTCATTGACAATGCAAGCTGATATTATTTTAGGCAATTTTAGATCTCAATCAATTAAAAATTTGTATTTTCAGGATCCGCAGGCGTTCTTCTTCTCCCAATGACGGTCATTTGTCTCCAAAAAGACTTCGTCATGACTCTCCACCGTCCAGCATGCAACTTCAGCGGCCTCGGCGAGGTCCGGTCAAGACTGAATGGACCGAACGCACGATTTGCAAATTTTTCCGCGAAGGCTTTTGTCGGGATGGAGATCAGTGCGTCTACTCGCACAACGCCGCCGATTCTCGTCGCATCCCCGAGCTGTGCAGGTATTATCAGCATGGCTATTGTAAAAAGAATGTCCGATGTTTGAATCTGCACGGCGAGTTCCCGTGTAAGGCTTTTCACACCGATGGATGCCGAAATGAAGAGTGCAGATTCTCGCATCAGCCGCTGAATGATTATACGCAACCTATTTTTGATCAGGTAAGAGATTCGGAACGATTTTTTTAAAATTTTTTCTATTTTTTCAACATTGTTTTATCTCTTGGTTTCAGATGATGAAAGATGCGGAATTGGCCGAGAAAATTAGTCAATTGCCGCGAACACAACGAAGAGTTTTGCTCCCCGAGGGCCCAGAAGAGTTCGATGCGATCTACGATTTCAATGTGCAGTAAGTTTATTGGATTTGGAGATGATTTTTCATATTGAGTTAGGTAATAAATCAATTTTTTTATAGCAACGTCTCTCTGGATCCTCTCCCGGCCCCAACGGTGGTTGTTCCGGTCCTCGCGAATGCCGCTCCTTCCCAAGCGACTTATGGATTTTTCAACGCGGTCCCAACTGCCTCAAACTCTTCGCCACATCAGAAACCGTTTAGTCATGTAAGTTGCTATCATATTTAGTTATATTTAGAGCGATTTAGCGCGATTTCAACTATAATTTCCGGCTTTTTCAGACTCCAACCGCCGTCTCCTCGGCCCCTGTCCGCAACTCCCCACAACTGCAATCCCCACCACCCAGGGAAGAGGGCTCGGCCCCGCTCAGCATCAACGATCTCCTAGGCCAATTGTCGAGGCCCGTCGAACCGATGGAGATCACCCCGGAGGTCATGAACGAGAACATTCGATCCCTCCAGTCAATGTTCGACTGCCCGCCGGTTATTGACGAATCCCCCGCGTCGCCGCCGCCGGAAGGAGTGATTGCCAGCGATTCGGCGCCGGTCATCCCAACCAATCGACCCTACAGAGCCATTCCAATCTTGATCAATGATAATCAACTCGATCTCAATCTGATTCAGGTGGGTTTTGATGAAAATGACATCTCCAATAAGTTTTTGGAGATCTTGTATTTTAATGTGATGATGTTTTTTTGGGCTAAAAGGAGTTTTTTGCAATTTATCTTGAGCTTTTAGGACCTCACCTCCGGCATTCACAAAAGCGATCCGCGTCTGAAACGCGTGGCGGAAAAGCAGTTCGACCTGGTCTCCCAATCCCTCCAACTCGGTGGAATGTTGAACATGAAGCCGGACCAAACCAAGGACAAACCATTGGACCCGAGAAGCCGTGATCCGAGAATGCGGAGCGGCCTCAACTCCAGCCCACCCGGCTCCAGCCTGGCCTCGAGTCTGAACTCAACCCTAGCCGGGCTGGGCCCCGGACTCACCAGCGGACTGAGCCTGGGATTGAGCATGAATTCGGGGTTGTCGTCGGGCCTCAGCCCGGACATGTCCACCTCATCGTTCACTCAAAGCGACAGGGAATTTGAACAGAAAGTGAGCCAGCAACTGCGGATGGCCAGCCAATTGCAACAAGGCAGCGATATGGACTTTAGAGGTGGGAACGATCGATACGAAACCTCCCCAAGATACGACGATCGACCCTTCGATGGATTCGATCGCCGCTACTCCAACCGCAGCAGAGATTCCAGCTACAGAAGCCGGGATTCGAGAGACCCTAGACCGAAAAGAGACTTTGATGACCGATATGATCGGAAAAGAGGCTACCCTTCGCCGAGACAGGACGAACCGAAGCAGGACAACCAACAACCGTCCACCCAACAACCGCTGACGCTGAGGGAGAAACGAAAAGACAACATTTTTGAGAGTCCGCTGGCAAAAACGTCCAGATTTTAGAAATGGAGCTAATCTTGTAGGCTAAAACTATTTATCGTCAAAATTTTTTTGCTCAAAATTGTTTGTACAGAGGTTGTGAATGTGATTCAGCACAAGATTTTAGTCTAATGGGGATCAAAATTTCCCCGAAAATGAAGATTGCCAGTTTTTTTTTAAATTTTTGTCCCGGTTTCATATCCCAACATTTTTTACACGTTTTCTCCTCAAGCCATCTCAAATCTAAACATTAATCAAGTTCTAAGGGTCCAATTCGTCTATGGGTATTTCTTTTTTTTCAGTTTTTGTTATTCTCTTTTTCATGGTATTTATTCATGACATCGGTTTGCAACTTTTTCTTTAATAATTGTTGTTTGTCCATATAGTTTATAAATAAACAAATGTTTGATTTTGAGCTCTAAATTGACAAGTATTAGATGAAACGCATTGGAAACTTTGCCATTCGTATGTTTTCATGGTAATTTTGCATTCATTTCGGGCACCGGCCGCAAAGATTCATTCCTGCGACTCTTCCGGGCAGCCGAAATTTGCCGATTAGGATTTTTATACCGTAGTTTACCTGGTATGATAGAAATTTTGCATTGACAACTCCCTGGAACTGATGAGTACACGGATCTATTGAATTCATACACCGCTTCTAAAGTTATGGAAGTTTGTTTCCAAAAAATGCTTTCTGAACCTTTAAAAAAACCCGATTAACCTTATGATAACTATTTATTTTTTTGATACAGTGGTGGACCTGGTCCAGCCGCAAAAAACGTACCATTTCGCATCCTGGAAGTATCAAAAATGTGGCAAAATGCTTCCCTATCCAAGTAAAAAAGCTTCGTTTTGAAGGGCGCGCCCTTTCCCTCACAAAAAGAGCTGACCCGGTTTTGAAAAACCGGGGTTTTTCACTTGGAGAGGGAGGTATTTTGCGACATTTTTTGATACTTCCCGGATGCAAAATGGTACGTTTTTTGCCAATGGTTCAGGTCCGCCACGGTAACGATTTTATACACCTGAAAAGTTAATTCGCAACATCTAACTGCCAAATTCACTGTTAGAATTTCCTGTTGTAATCAAATGCTTGCTGATTTCCAAACAGAATCGTCGTGGTTCTTCTATGGTTTTTCTAGCTGCCGGCAAAGTGGTTGCCCACAAGTCTGGGCCAGCCGAGCGCTCAGACTAAAACACTCTTTGACGATGTCATTGCCAGTTTAGCGTGTGGGAAAATGATTTTTTGTGGAAACACAGCTCCCAACAGTTGAAACAACTATAGAAATTTACACATGTTTCATCAAAACCAGAGAGTCTCATATCCAATGTTATTTTCAAACTTTATCCACCAACAGTGTGTTAACTTAAAATTTATTCGTTATAAGTATTCCCTGAGGGGCATTAGATATATTTGTGTCAAGTTCGAGCTTTATACAACGGATCGGGGGGCCTATGAAAGAAGGGGTTTTCGTTTTACGAAACAATACAATTCGAGTTGGACTTGTTCTTAATCCTCCGGGCATTCAATTGTTTGGGGCCGGCTCGGCGTCGAACCGAAGTTGGATTTGGCGCTGGAAGAGGTTGTTTTTCGTAATGGGCTTGTCGCTGAGCGGGACGACGTCGGGGAGTTAGTGACGCATTCACCGAATCGTATTTCCCCATGTAAATCTCGTCCTCGGAGTCGCTCTCGGATGTTGTGGTGTAGCTGGAAATAAAGAGCGGTTAGAAATGAGGCTCTAAAAGATTATGCTGAGAAAGTTTGGAGATGTTAATTTTGCTCTTGACGGTTAATTTTTTCCCTTGCTTACCTTGATCTCCTTCCGAAATTCGGCGGCATTCCGGAATAGAAGTTCTGCGGACGCGCCCTTCTCCCACTCCTTCCATTCTTCAAATTCATCTCCTCCAAGGCCAAGTCATCATAGCTGCAGCCGTCGACGTTGTTCAACTTGGCCGTACAGCCATCCATACTCAACGATCGCCGGTTCCGATGGGTCCTCGCGTGCGTCCAGTTGGAGCTGCTGCAAGACGACGTGGAATCCCACTCTTCCACTTCCGAGTCGTCGGTTACGACCGGTCGATGGATTCGCCGGCGGAATCGGCGGGGTTTTGTCTCCGGCAACGCCACTGTTTCGTAGATATTCTCGGGGGGAGTTTGCTGATGGAATGAGGTCTGTGGCGGCAATGGTGGCGACCTCAATGGAGGTGGTCCGGGAGGTCGGAGATGTGCCGGATCGACCGTCAGCATCGGCGAAATGGGCTTTCCAGTAAACATAGGGGTATTCAGGCCGTTTCGAGGGCTTATCCCCCCATTCATCGACGAATTCCCACTGTTTCTCGCACTTCCAGGGCTCACACCCCCCATCACCACTTGATCCGGACTAACGCCTCGGATTCTCGCCGAAATCGGCCCGAAATTCCGTTGATTCTCTCCGTTCTTGGCGCGCCGGATCCTCCGCTCACATCCGTTCGGCCCGCAATACAGCCCATTCCCGATAATCGAGTACTTCTTGCTGCCCAACAACTTTTTCGCACACCCAATGCACGCGAAACACCGCTCGTCCGTATGCCAATGCACCTCGCCTTGGGTGATGCGCGGCTCGTTGGCCTGAATCTCGCCGCCGCAGGTGTTGCACTGGATGGGTTGCGGGAGCTGGTTGTAGCAGGTGATGCAGAAGGGTCGGGTGTCCTTCACCACGTAGCGCAGGCCGCCCAATTGGCAGTCGCAACCGCCGCACGCAAAGTGTTTCATGTGCCACATTCGGCCCTCGGCTTCGGTGCATTCTTCGTTGAAAATCAGCTGAAATGATGGGGAGAATTAGTTGGAAATATTGAGATCGTTGGTATCTGTTTTCCTACGTACAGTGGGGGCATGATCCAGTGGCAAAAAACGTACCATTTTGCATCCAGGAGGTATCAAAAAATGCGGCAAAATACCTCCCTCTGCGAATGAAAAAACCCAGATTTCAAAAGCGCGCCCGCTCTTTTTGTGAGGGAAAGGGCGCGCCCTTCAAAACGAAGTTTTTTCACTTGGAGAGGGAAGTATTTTGCCACATTTTTGATACTTCCCGGATACAAAATGGTACGTTTTTTGTCTCTGGATCAGGTATTTCACTATAATGAACGGAGTGGCTGCAAAATCGGAAAGAATTCCTCACCTCATCACAACCCGCACACCGTGGTTTCAGCTGTTCCGCATGATGTCGGCCGCAAAACACGTTGTCGTTGTGTTTGAAGTAGATCAAGTCTACCAACAGCTCGGTGCACTCCACACAAACAAAGCACTTGGGATGCCAAAAGGCCCGGTTTCCGAAGCGTTCCGGCGCCTCGATCACCATGTCGTCCGCGCCAAATGATTGCTTACACTGAAATTTTTTGGTATTTAAAATTAATTCTTCGGTACTTAAAATCCGTTTTTTGGCTGATTTAAAATTAACCTTAGGGCGATTTTGGAAACATTTTGCTCACTTTTTGTCATCATTTCTACAATTTTCGCTCTTATTTGTAATGCATGATTAACCCGTTTAATGCGCAGATGGCGTCCGCTGAAATGCGAGGCGAGCGCGGTAGAGCAGTGCGGGCCAACCCCAAATTTTTTGATTTATGACCCAGCTGGTCGATGACAAAAATGGGATTTGGTCACACAATAGGGCTGGCTAATTTACTCATAAATTTGCAATTGAACTGCAGTTTTTGACTAAATACCAAACTTTTTACGCCAAAAGTTGCAAAGAAATGTCTCATATTTTTCCAATTTTCGACCCAAAAATCTCTGCAGTTTCCGCCAAAAACGAGCTGGAAATTTCACATATCTTTTAGAAAGCTACAATCTAATTTTGTCCCTAGTTTCGTTCAAATCTGAGCGTCCCACTTTGAGCCTTTCCCTTGTTTATCACACCCTACCTGATGACAATATCGCCGTTGATTTTCGAAGGGCAAATGTGGCCGGATTACGCCTTTGCCGAGGCATTGTCGTTTCCTCACAGCTTCGAACTGAAGCAATTGCTGCGCCTCGGCCTCGCTCAGCGACAAACAGTAGCTTGGGTCCGAGTCTTGAGGCGGCAGTTGACGCTTCAGTTGGCTGACTCTCCACTGCTCTCCGGCTGAATTCACGTATGGGACCTTGTCGTTTGGTAGCGAGGAAAAGTAGGAGTGGACCTGGAAGAATAGTGACGTCATTAAAACAATGAAAAATTCAAAAAAAGTCAGTGTGAAAAGTGGGCAAAAAGAGGGTGCCCTGAAATTGGAAATTTCCAAATTTTGGAATGACAAAATGAGGGTTTGCTACTGAAAAAATGCAGTGGCTCTTTGGAAACTCAAATTTTCATGTGCAATATTCACAAAGACAGATGAAAAAAAAGCTTTTCTTTTCTGACCCAATCTCTATATTTTACGTGGTCTCTCGCAAAAATTGCAACATTGCGTAATATCTTCGCTGCAAACATAAAGAACAGCCTAAAATTTCCAAACTATAAACTACAGTCCATACACAAAATTCGTACAAAATTTGAAAAAAATCTATGGGGTACCCTACGAGAAAAACGACTACAAAATCAACGTACCATATCAGGCTTGCATCCACTGGGAACCCACGCGTATTCATCCATCACGCATCCCGAATCATCGTCGCTGGTACTGTAGCGCTGAAAGTCGGCCGCCAAACGGATCTGCGACGCCGGCGAAAGACAGCTCGGTCTCATTTCAAGTTCGCGACGACTTGTTTGTCCAGGCTGATCACCAGAACCTGAGGTTTTCTGTGTTTTTCGCTGGTATTCGATTGAAAGCTGCAAAAACAAGGGTAAAATGGATACCGAGATGTGAGTACGGTCACTAGGCTGAACGCGCAACAAGAAATTTCAAAGTAAAAATAAAAAAAATTTATGAAAAAATCCAAGGTGGGTATAGTTCGACCTGTCGATTTTCTTCAAAATGTGCATAGATATTCTTTATAGCCCGTATATCAATCCCTGAAAATTTTAGCTCTCATTTGGCATTGGCAGCGGAGATATTAAGCAATCTTTTTTCCGAGAGAGCACGCGAAATGCGGAGTGCGGTCAGAGAAAAATAACTTTTTTGCCCATATCTTTGCCAGCTCCGCATAGAAAAAATTGATTATTTGAAGAAATATTGTGCTCTTCAATAGCAACAAAGGTTGTGATTTTCCAGCCAAATGCCCAGAAAAGAACACGACAATATCCGATTAACTCACAAAACCTTTCAAAACTTGAAACCTCCTTTGTAAAAACATTTTCTAAATCCTTTCAAAGGGCGTTACAAAGTTGCATAATCCACCCACCCCATAATCGAATCTAGCCTCCATTGAGTGTGCGGATCGATTACAATATTTGAGAATTGCGCGAAAAGCCGCACCGACTCTAATGGCGGTACAATAAAAGGAGAAGATCCGCCCCGACTGTTTATTCGCACAACTCGCCACAAACCATGTGGAAGTCAATTTGAGACGGGGGGAAAACAATAAAAGTTGCAGATAGGATCAGCGAGCGCCTTACAGAAGTCATTAAAGTGGAAAGGCGAAGACACAGGACGCTGAGGCCGTAAAATTGGATTTTGAAATCTTCGAAACTTGGATGGTTTGTTGATACAGGTAGTGCTAGATGTGTGGAGGTCAGATTCTCATAAAATTTGGAATAGAAAGTCTGTCTAGGCTATGTGCAAATTCTTGCAAATTTCAGCTGCAGCGTTGTAGGGAGAGCTAAGATATTCAAAGATTTCTGGAGACAAGCGATTATAGAAAATATGGAGAGACTAGCAGAGAAAAATCGCTGGTCATCGAAATGTAATACGCTCTACTCTAATCAGAATTTTGTCCTGTGAAATTTCACAAAGCAGGCTACATTATGCAACCTTTTGACCTCAAAATCTTGATGATTTCGCGGGCTAAAAGTTTCGAAAATTTCTTGGAAGGCCTGAATTACATTTCAAGCCAACTTTCATCAAAATCCGAGAGCTATACTTCGAGAATTTCCTCATATTCTAGTCACCCCAATTCCCCCAAAATTGCAAAAAATCTCCGACTAATTCGCCACATCGCCTCAAAGCGCCGTTCAATCGTTCTCCAGCCGATCATTTAGCCGACTTGAGAGCGCTTAACGCGCCGTTCCGCAGCATCCTTGAACTCGCACACACAAAGCCGTCCCCAAAAATGCCGAAAACAAAGGGCTGACAGTTTCGCGCTGAAAACTTTTTTTTTATTTCCCCTTTTATTGAGTGATCCGTTGCGCAAGCAGTTGGTTAGTATCTGCAGCGATTGACCGGACAGACCGACGTCGCAAAGGGGATCATGCTTATCTACCGCAAAGATGCTGGAGATGAGAGGAGAAAGAGAAGTTTTTTTTGGCTTCTTTTAGATCGACGGTGATATGGGGATGAATGGGATGATGGATTTAGGGAAAGGGGAAGTGCTCAGAGCTGGATGCTGGCGGTGGCTTGAAAATTGGGGTAAATGATCTTTACAGAAGGCTTTTTAAATGTTAGAAAATTTGGCTAGCGATTTCAAAACTCAGCCAAGATAATAAGCGATCTTTGCGGACACCAAGATACGAAGAGCAGAATAAAATTAGAGCAGAATAATCACCCAGACATCAATACAATTACCGCCAAAGACTGTGATGACAAAAAAACCGCCTAAACTTTCCCATACCCTCTATAAAAGCGGCGCTAAAAATGCAAATTATGATAAAACCCACCCAGCTTTTGCGGTAAACCCATATCAACCCTCACCACCCAATGTTTGTTTATCTACCCCGTTCATGAGTCGTCTCCAAAATCTGCATAAAACGGGACAAAAATGGGGGCGAACGGTCCGAGCAGCGGGTACCCCTCGAGAGAAGCAGAAAAGAAGGGCCGACAGCGAATTTTTATGACACCCCGCCCCGGCTTTAAGGCCATCTCCGATTCGTTTTTTTCGATTGCTGATATAAGGTCAGACTCATGGCGTGTAAGGTCGGGCGGGGATTAAGACGTGGGCAACATGACATGGAGAATGGAAGGAGGGGAAATTGTAAAAGCTCAAAGAGCTTGACGTGAAATTTTGGGAATCTTTGGAACGGGAGGTGGCGCGGTGGAGGGGAAACATTTGAAGATATACAGATAGTGGTGTGACATAAATGAAAATTTTACAAAACATGAATTGTTTCCGAGCAAAATCAGTAAGAGATGGGAAAATGAATAGAAATGGTTTTTTGGATGACAAACTCTCCAAATTTTGCATGGTCTATCAGCCTTAACATCTCTGTTATAGATACAATACGAGAGCTAAGAGTTTCGGTGGTTGAATTTGGCCTGCACAGAGTGCGTAGGGTTAATTTGAAAGTTTTAAAGCTACAGAGGCATACAGGGAAAGCTCATAGATATATGGACAAATCGTAATTGAACTTTCCGGAACTGGCCTGATTTTGTAATCGCCTGACTAACAGGGAACCTACTCCAAGTGCGACGCTCAGATTTTGATAAAACTTGGCACAAATTTAGGGTAAAATTGTATAAGACATATGCAAGACTCCTAGTTCGCAGTTTGCAGAAACAACCGAGATTTTTAGATCGAAAGGCAGCAAGAATCGACTGATTTTTTCGAGATTTTGCACGAAAGTTTTCATACATTTTTCTACGGTAGAGGGTAATGTTTCCACAAAAAATCAATTTTTACCCACGAAACTGGCAAAGGTATGACCAAAAATTGTTTTTCCTCTCTGTTCGCTCTCCTCATTTTGCGTACTCTCTCGTACGCAAAGATCGTTCAATATCGCGACAACTTCTGCAAAGCGCAAGCTAAAACTTTCAGGTGTGTGAAAAGTTTAAAAAAGCCCTGAGCGTCGCACTCGGAAGTCTTCCGTTGTAAACGCCCTCCGCGAATTTCAAGCGCACGCTCCTCCCAAAGTGACCAGTCCAAAAAAGGCTGGAAATGTTTCGAAAAGGCATGAAGGGATTTCGAAGACAGATTGATATGGCATTAGATGAAAAGACAAATTGGTCAAGGAAAAACATATATTTATGTACGGCGGTCGAGAAAGCGGAAGGGGAAATTGAATGAATTAGGAATAATTTTCGACAAAATGTCAGAGACTTTTTCCCGTTTTGGTGCGAAAAATGTCGATTTTTTTGTGAAAACATTACTGTCAACGTTAGAAATAGGCCTGAAGTTTACAAAAATAGCATAAAACTTGTGATTTTTTGCCGAACTTTTCGGGTCTGCGACAGTTCGGGTCATCGCAAAATCGTTCGATACAGATCGTAGAGAGAGGAGGATACCCTCAAAAAAAACTTGTAGGAAACGCCGACAAGGCCTGGCAAAGCCATTGGATGTTTGGCGGACGCTCGGCGAAGGCTCGGCGGAGACTTGGCGAAGACTTGCCGTATGCCCACTTTTTCTAATTTTAGCTATTCGTAACGTTAGTTTTCTTCACCCTGACTTATTGAAACATACAAAAAATCAAAATTTGTGGCAAAAAAACAATGATTCGTAACTTTTATCCAGACATTATTCATGTGAGAACGTGTAAAATACTTAAAAATAGGTGATAAGCTACTCTAGGAAGAGATGAAAAATATTCTAAATTTATCTCAAATTTTATGAAAACTTGAGGCTTTCACATGTAGTACTCCCCCAGTCAATCATACCAAATCTCGTCTTACAACTTGCCACCCAAAACAATACCGCTGCGAAACAAAAAACGGACACTGATTGCGCCGGATCGCTTTATGCGTAATTATTGCCCCACCCCGCCCTTTCCCTTTGTTCCGACCATTATTTTTTCGTAGATCCATAAATATAAAATATCCAGAAAAAGCGGGACGAGGGCCGTAAAAACCTATGCATAAAATCCCGGCGCCGCTAATGAGGATCGAGTTACCGAAGAGCAATCGAAAAATCCCTCTGGATTGAATATGCGCGCGAATTCCTAATCGACTCGCGACAACCGGATCTGCATATAAATCGGGCTGTAGAAATCGCGGTACTGTGGCTTTGACCGGGGGAAATTGCGGACTAAATTACTGTATTTTGGCGGTTCTTTGAGCTGAGAGTAAGATTGGGGGTACCACTAAGTGTGTCTCTTGAATTCCCTTCAAACTTGTGGCATACCCTCTACTTGGGTTCCATTTCAAGGCCTGAAAAATTCAGATTTTATTTAGCATCAACGGCGGAGATATTACGCGATCTTTAATTACGAGAGAACATGAAAAATGAGGAGTCGGAAAGACAAAAAAATCATTTTTCTGTGAGAGGAAAAGTTCAGTTTTTTGTAGAGTCATTGTAACAACAAAGCTTGATCTTTCTGAATCGAAAATAACAAAAAAAATAAAAATTTTTGGCCAAAATCCGGCTTAAAAATATTAAAAGATGTTAGCTATAGGCCAGCTATAAAAACTATATATGTTTTGTTCTCTTAGGCAGTCGAATTCTAATTTTCTCGCAAGTTTTTGCAAAATCAAAGAGCCACATTTGACCTAGAGCCAATAACTTCCCAAACCCCTAATCACCTTATACGGAGTCATCCTTCTATAGCCTCAAAAACCCTCCCATCCCAGCTGTGACACGATTTTGTAATCGCGAATCGAATACAAAATTGCCCATCGCATGTCAAGACCCAACAAATCGGTTTTCAGTTCATTTGTTGCTCGGAGCGCTGCAAAAACCTCATAAATTTTGCATTTGGCAATCAATGGCTCCGGCCACACAGGT